CCTGAACATCCCTTGGCAAGAAAAGGTACGAAATGACGAGGTGTGGAGGAGAATTTCGGCTGACGGCAATCCACCGGAGTTAATCACCTTACGCATGGGAAATATAAAACCCAGCTTCTGGTTTGGCCACATAGTGAGGATGGAAAACAACAGACTTTCAAAGCGTATCCTGCTGGAAACAGTGTCTGGGAAAAATAGACGGGGTAGGCCAAGGAAGAGATGGGAAAATGACATCATGGTTAACAGCACCTTCTACCTGGAACACCGCAGAGCGCAAGACAGACAGGAGTGGAGAGCGAAAATTCGTGGAGCCAACGTCCTTCGGGACATGATGCAAGATTATTAGCGTTCTTTCAGCCAAACGAAAACAATTCACACATATCCCTATGTGATCAGTGGACAGAACTTTAAAAACGGTGGTTGTGTTCAAAATTCCATAACGTGAAAATTACATGAGTGATTTGGATGATTCTTGTTCTAAAAGAAGGCTTATGAATTGGGCTTTTATATTCTACATTTTAAAAATGCTACACGCAGAACTTCCAGGGTGATCCAGGGCGGTAAAATAGACATTAATAGATACAATGTTTTCAAATGCAAATTTGTACGCCATTGTTATAGATTATTTCCTTTTTTTCCTTTTTTTCATTCCACAACCCAATAGAATTACAAAAGTTGTTTGGCTGGGATCCAAATAGATTTTCTGCTTAGTGCTTAAACATTCCATGATATTAAAGTATTTTTTTATCGAGACAAAGTTCATGTCAAAAATATTGAAAGAGAAATCTGATTTTTTTTTTAATTGTTTTTTTTTTACAATGAAATATAGTTGTTATCAACTCTCGTTTTAATTCAGACGTCAACAATTCTAGCCAAACATCAAAGCAGGGTAGTTGTTATATTACAGATCTTTATCTGGACTTACCACGCTTGTACAGGGTGAGTAAAAAAAAAAGGAAACTCAAATGGCAGGACTATATTTGTTCATTAAGGTTCTGCATGTAGCACTTACAACCCTATGGGCCTTATTCACGATTTGGCCATTTTTGTCGAGTTCCCTGAATGTATTTTATAAATTGTTAACTGTTGAATTGGATGGCGCCAGAATTTTTATGCAGGCACAATGCAGCCTTATTTTACTGTCTTTTTTTAATATGGCTTTAAACATTAGGAAATGTTTAATTACAAATTGAAAATTATCTATTGAGGCAGACTGGAATTGATTATAAATTAAGTTGCTTTCATTTCTCTTCGCAAGTTAAAAAAAAAAGATTTTACTTAACTTTCAATTCCATAATGGCCGACTCGTGAATAAGGCCCACGTGAATTGTTTTCGTTTTGCTGAAAGAACACACACCTTTTTTGTGATCCGTGGACAGAACTTTAAAACGGTGGTTTTGTTTAAAATTCCGTAACTTGAAAAGTAAACGAGTGACTTGAAAGATTCTCGCACTAAACGAAAGCTTTGTAATTGGGCTTTCATATCCTAGGTATCATTGCAAGACACTTCGCTTGTTGTCTTGTTTCCCCTTAAATTAAAATAATCTCAACGATAAACCAGGCATCTTTGTAAGTTTGTATCCATAGCTCATCTCGCTATTCACTAGGCTACTGTGTGGTAGCTCGACGACAACCGTACTTTAAAATGCTTTAATGTAATTGGTTGACTCAATAACCGATCGAAACTACTGAATTATTCATGACTTAGTCCCGTCCTGGGATAACAATTACGCGGGCGTTGCTTTTATGCGCAAATAAAGCCCCCTGACCCTCGGAGGGTTGTAGACAACCAAATCGGACTTAACGCTTAAAAGTAGTCTGAAGGGTCCGTGAAATGAAATTTTCTAAGTAGCATATTTTATGTAACTTTCCACTCCTTTTAAATATACAACTTATTGCAGTACGTAACATAATTAAGGTAAACTGACTGCTTTACTCATTCAATATGTATTTTTTAATTTATATGTTTTCAAGGTACTTTTTGTCCGGCGAATTTTACCAAAATTGTGTATTACTTTATTACATAACAATTTTTACCTAATTATTTTTAACATATCTTTTTGAGAGTGTGTCAGTACATGGCAGTACGCCAGTGAGCACACTTTTCCACACAGATGTTTTCATGAGCAACCTTTTGGGTTTACATTTGAACAGAAAACCCCTTTAAGGGAAAATACAACATTTGCAAACATCAAAAAATAAAACTACCAAATCATTTTGAAATACCTTGCTGGACTGTTAGTGAATGACAGTGTAAAGCATCCCGTTTCATAGCACCTGGTATACTGTCATTTTCAAGAAAAGTGGTATTTTTGTATCAATTTCCAACGCTGATCGGCCGATCAGCGTTGGAAACGACTGCCTTTTTTTCAAATACTGGCCCCAATTGACCATCGCACTTGTTTGCAATCGATTACAAACCTATGAACGGGTACGAGCCAGCTAGACTGGTTCCCCTGACCTTACAATTCCCCAATGTATGTAGACTGCTCTGTTTCTTCTTATATGGAGTCAGGAAACCAGACTACAGGAAAATGATCGTTTTTCTTGGTTTTTATAGCATTTAAATTTCGAACCCAAAACCTAAAAAAAGTCAGTGTAACTATATTTGCTATATATTTCCAACCACCAAATTCCATCCATTTCTGAAAATTACAGCAAAAGCAAATGATGTATATTCCCTTTAAATGACTTCACAGTAATAGCGCCCTCTGTTGTCCAGAAAAGCGTGGACATTGCAATGTTTTCAGGAGTTCACTTTCAATGAAATTTACCAAAAGGGGATGTCAAATATATATAGGTAAAACGTACTAAAACAAGGTAAAAACGTACACGCGGTGACGCGATACAGCTAGCACAGCACAGCATAAGTGAAGATGGAGTACACCGTGTCGCAGCTAATGTCGGTCTTTGAAGGTAACATTTTCTAAAGCTCTTGCGATTGTTATAACAATGAATCACCAAAGAACAGAAAATTCACAACAGCAAATTATCCTAAATTCTGCCAACTTTGGTGCTGAAATAACTGCAACATTGGGGTATCTGCCTGAAATTAATAAAATCACTTTTGCTCATGAATATGGACATTTGTATTAGCATAAACAAAAGGCACAAAATACCTTTGAAAATGGCAAAACGAAAATGAAAAATGACTTATTGGGATACAAAGGTGTATTTTCAAGGACATTAAAAAAATCACATACTATGGCCCTTTAAACAAAACTCAAATAGAAAACTTGTTAGAAAAATGAAACATTATAAGAGCACAGGAATGTATTTTTAAGCCTTTGCAATTAACGCCATAACATTTCTTGCTGGTATTGTAGTGTTGCATTACCCAGTAACTAAGCATTGGCCTCAGGCAATAAGAGTGTAAAAACAAAGACTGTGCTTAAGATGTTTCGGTGTCTACAAAAATTTACCTCAAGATAATTCCCAAGATAAGATAGACACATAGAAACCAACATAAAAACCATGATGGAAACTTTGCCCACTTCATTTTTACAATGTATAAGCACAAAAAGGTTACCAGCCAAACTATAATACAATGCGCATGGCTGGTGACTGGTTCCCCGTTGAAGTTGCTGTACGCATAAACTTGCTTACACTTTCTGGTTTTCAGCTCCATTAGTCAATTTGAGGTATGGCCGACACAATAATGAGGGCGCTATTTGGTTTGGGTAAATAAAAAGAAAAGACTTTACCGAAATCAAACAGCGCCCTCCTATTGTGTGTGAGAGATCTCAAACAGGCTAATGGGTTTGCCTGGTGTTAATATATATATTTAATATGTAATCTCATTTTAATCCATATTCCAAAAAAATAGCATATTAGCGTTAACTGTTATAGCACTGCGCATGGGTTGTCGCGGAAGCAAATTATTGTCCAGGGACTTCACCCTTTCGATTTAAGATTATTTGGAGCAATGTTTGCATCAAAATACACTTATCCTTTTTTCCCTATTTTTTTTAAAGCAGAAGGCTTTACTTAAGATTGTATTAACTCAACTTTATATGTCACATGATTCTATCAATCGCAATTAGAAATATTAACAAAATCATCAAAAAACTTAAGTAAGCAATAAAAGGTAGGCCCACGTCTGCTTAGTTGCTTGAATATCTCATCTGTTTTGAAATGACATGCACGTCTTTCTTATCACCGTATCTGATTTCTTAATTGAAATGGTTACTCAACTCAAGCCAAATCAGCGTCCATGACAAACGTTTACCATTTCATGGTGAACTTTAGGTATGAACAGGACGGCTATACTGCTGCAATGCTACGGTGAATTGTGAATAATCGGCCCAAAAGAACACTGAGTATACAAAAGAAAGCGAAGCCATATCCTCACACAATCTCAGCCAAACCAATTGTCAATGACAAAAGGCGACCATTTCATGGTCAAGTTTACGTATAAACATGTATACTGGTGCAATACTATAATCTGAATACAACAATCTGAGTACATTGTATATACAAAGAATACAAAGCAGTCAACTAAACTAATTATGTTATACTTTCAATGACGTCACAGGGCTTTTTGAGGAGAGTACCAAAGAATGTTTATGTCCCTTCAGTCTCGAAAGTTTACTGAAACTCAAAAATCAGCATGAGAACGCTTACATTATTACCAATTGTAGCATTTTCCTATCTCTATTTTTATAAACTATTATCATCTATTACTTTTCTGCTAAGCTATAAATGCTACTTGAGCTAGACCATGACTTATTTAGAAGGCACCAGCGTGCCTCAAGCACTATGATCATTTTATTGGATGGTCGTAACGCTATGGGATCAGCAAATGTAGAGCGTTGATAGAAGAATTACTAGCATCTCTAGACTCAATTCCACTTTCTCTTTTTGTTTGAAAAATTGGAATTTAGATGCAAGTAGGCCTAACACAGTTCGTTTATCCAGCACCTATGTCGATCCCATATAGCGTTTAATACGACCACCCAAAAATTGTTAGTGCTAGAAGGCAAAATATATGGTGCCTTCTTGTTCTAGTAGACCAAGTTCCCATGCAAGCAGAATCGGTCAACCCACATGACATTACTCCTTCGCATATATCTTGACTGACTGGCAGTCAGCCACTGCCAGCCGCTGCCCATCTGCTGTGAAAGTTAGTCCGTACGGGTTGTACAGATCCTTGGCCACGCATGCGATAAACCGCCCTCTCGTGTCGTAGTGGTGAACATGACACTTGTTGAAGGTCTTGGTGGTCGCTGCGATGTAGATACCGGAGTCATCAGCGCACATACCTCGGCAGTCCATCGCGGGTTTGCCCTCCAAAATCGGATGGATTTCCCTCAATTTGGTAGCTACATCAGTATCGGAGACCTCAATGATGAACACCTTGCGCTGGTTCAAGTCACTGATCGCTATCACCTCGACGAGTTGATCAAATCGCTGGTCGTACATCACGGCTAAGAAAAAGGGTTTGATCTCAATTCGTATGGTGCGTAGAATCGATCCATCTGGGCTGTGCTCGGTCAACACCTTCATGTCATCACCCACGATGATGTTACCATTTGTCTTGACTGCCAAAGCGATGAGGTTCACTCTACGCTTCTCATCCTCACTCACCGTCTTGAACTCGGAGACATACTCTGCGTCCTCTTTGTTGTATAATTGGACCGCAGTAGGGTTAGCAATCACCCATCGTTTGGGTGTAGCCGCCACGTCATCTGAAGAAAAGAAAAAAGAAACAAGTGCGAGTGCACAATAAGCTGTGGCCGTGTTGCAAGAAGTCTTGCATGGAAACGATCAAATTGATCCCTACCAGGGCTTGAAACATGCGACGACGAAAAATTCGGGACAGGCACAGACAGACCATCCGACCAACCGACCGACCATAGCGACCACCAAGTGACATGAAGAAGCTCTTGCTAGAGCTTAATAACCCAAATTGGCGGAAATGTTTAACTTGCGACAGTGAGGTTGAATAAAAAGAGCATTTTTTGCACGGTATTTAAAGATGCGCCACGATCTAGGCAAAATAGTATAAAGAACTGTTTTTGGTTTAACTTTAATTGATTACAGATTTTGTTTAAGCGATTATCTTGCATCTGAGGGCGCTGTTTTTGTGATGTAACTTGACACTCAATGGACCATTTGTTTGTAAATGGATACAATTCATGGTCACGTGACATCCCCTTTTACTGGGAAAATAAGCCACTGGTGTATTTCTATTATGTGAGTGAGTTTTGAAAGGGGAGACTAACATTGGAAATATGAGGGAAATAGCGAAAAACAGAGATGGTGTCTGCTATTAGCTTATCTGTATCTGAGATATGGCGGACATAATAGGAGGGCGCTGTTTGAGTTGGGTAAAGTCTTTTGTAATTGCCGAAATCAAACAGCGCCTCCTATGGTGTCTGCCATTATCTCAAATAGGCTAATGCCATTCGCCTGTCGGCAACCGACAGACATGATGCGTGATCACAATAGTCTACGCAGTTTAATACGTGTATGAGGTACGACGAGAGGGCGTCCGTGGATTGGTAGCACCTAATACAGTGTTTAATTGATGTTGCATGAAAGTGCTGGGGATCTTACTTGCTTCAATGCTAATGGACTTCCAGTTGTTTCCCTGGCTGTTGCAGATGACGACACGCCCATTCTTCCTGTCAGTCACTGCAATCTTGTCCGGTTTAGCCGCAGCAATGCCTCGTGCACCTTCAAACTCCCCCTCACCGTTCCCCTTCCGGCCGATAGTGTGCACCTGTTTCCAAGTATCCACCATCACCAATTTGCCCAGGTCGATACCGCCTACCGAGGGGCCCTCCAGGAACATCGGGTAGGAGAGCTGGGCCTGCATCTTGCTAGGGGCACCGACTGGCTTCTGAAACTTCTCCAGAGCGGCCGGATACTGGAGAAGGAATGTATTGTTGGGTGTGCGTGTGATGTCAGTCACTCGTTTGGCTTCTTCTATCTTTTCGGACAGCCTCTTCTTCTGTTCCTGCAGTTCTGCTCTTTCATCGTGGAAACTCTGACTGCGTCTTTCCCGTTGGTGTTCAATGTCATGGACGGCCTGTTTCCCCTTTGTTTCCACCTCTTTGATGATCTTGGCGACTGCTTCCTTGACATTCTCGAGTGCTTGGTCCACTTTTCTTTTGTAATCCTTTTCCACCTTCTCCAGAGTCTGCCAAGCCTGTTCGGTCGCCTGCCGTTCGGTGTCCACCACTTGAATCTGGTCTCGCAGGTTTTGTCTGTACCTGTCCGAGATTTCTCGGATGTCATATGCAGCGTGCTCCTGGTCGTGGTGGTATGACCGAACACAATCTTTACAAATCATCTTCTGGCATGTCTCGCAGTAGTACTGTTTGAAGTTGCCCACGTGATCCGCACAACAAAAAAAATCAAATTGAGGGCTTTTCGGGACTGGGCAACCTGCGGTCGAAAAAGAAACGCAGATTGTTGTCGATTATCTGTCGAACGCAAAGTTTATAATATTTGACAGGTTTTGTATGACAAAAACATACTTAAATATAGTAAATGTTCGATGGTATGATAACTTTCTTTTAAACAAAATTGTTTGAAAGATTGGGATTTGGGGGAAAATAACAATATTTTAATGACAGGTTTACATTCGCCGAATGAACATGCCTTCGGTCTATACTTGCCAAGTACGTGTGTCCTGTTTACAAAAGCATTAGTCTTGCGATCTATCAATCTTTGCAGGATTTATTGCCAATATTGGTCAGTTTTGTCACTAATTCACATTTGCGAATTGGTCGTTTGGTAAATAATCAGGTTTACTTCTGAACTAAGCCTGCATGATGTGACCGTTTATTGAAACAGAGTAAAAAGATCTCTATTAAATCACTTTAATTCCTTATTCTTGGAGTGGTCAGATTTAAAACAAAAAAATCTAGTTTAGTGAGCACTGTGCCTCAGGGTAAGAGAGGAAAACTTTGGTGCGTCGTGTTCTATTTTAAACATGACGACAATTACCTCGGTGTTTCCCAAAACTCGGATCCGTCGCCATTTTGGCTTGGCCTGATATCCGCCTATTATGTTTTCCTTCAAAAAAATATCAAACTGTAGGCCAATGTGATATGCCGTGATATGGCGAAAGCCGAAACAGAGACAAAGCCGACCCTGAGAAAGGGTCATCATGCGTGTTTATTTTACCTGACCTATAAGATTTTGTCACAATGGTCGGGAACTTTTGGTCTGGGTACCAGATTATAATTATACCTTTCAGTTTCTCGGCGAGATCTTGTCTATCGACCTTAACAAACGCTGCACGCAGACTGTCGACCAGGTCGCTGCCTGGAAAGGCCTGTCGTTTCCACATCATCAGCATCTGGAAGATTTGTTCGTTTGTGTTTCCCGGATGATCCGCCCTGATTTTGGCCACCTGCGCGTCCTTGATGCCCAGGTAGGTTGCCAATTGCTGCCATTCGTTACCAATATCCTTAGAGAAATCGCGTAGATGTATTTCGGTTAATTCTGGAGAGTAAAATATCAATATACAGTTAAACACAATGCACAAGTTGTGGTTTCCAATAGGTGTATTATTCTTATGCGAATGTAGGTATGCGGACGGGTGTAAAAACAGACGTGTGGCCAACATTGTTTGATGTTCGTTTAAATGTACATGCGTTGCATCACTTCAAACATGCCGATTTTACAGTACATGGATGTTTAATTTTTGATTTAGGTAAAGTTGCTTAAGCCAAAAAAAAAAAATAAGTCGGTCTCTGGTCAGCGCGTGCGTCGAATTTAATCATGCGCGCGGTAGCTCCAACAGCGCCCTCTATTTCCGCCCCTCCTCAATTTTTTTTTACCAAAGAGCACCAAGGAATGGGAAATTGCACCAAGGCAAATGATCGAAAGCACCAAGGCAAATTATTGAGGAAACCAATGTACATGAGGACACAAAAAAAACAAAATAGTACCCTACTTGTCTGTACAATCCAAGCTTGAAGAAAAAAATAAAAAGCAAAAAAAAAAAAAAAAAGCCGCGTGGCCGCGTCAATTCCGGAACTGTGGTCTGACCAGAGACCGACTTTTTTTTGGGCCTAACTAAACTTATTCAGTGAACGTACTTTCCAGCGCTTTTGTAGGAGGTCGAGCTTTTAAACGTCAACAAGCGTCAACAAAGCGTCAACGTGTTGTGGTTATCCGGATGCCAATTTTTCAGTGGGGGCGACTGGGGCGAACTTTTTGTGGTGGGCGTGCGGCCCCCCACGGCCCCCACGCCCCCCCCCCCCCCCCCCCCACGCCGCTGGCAAAATAGTGTATGGCTAAACGACAGAACACTTTTCATATTATTTTGTTTTGGACAGGTTTAGTGACTGTTTAGTGATGAACAAAGAAAATTTGAAAAAAAGATAATTACCTTAAAAATGTAAATCTCATACACAAACTAGGATAACCTAATATTCTGCATGTATCCATGAGAAAAAAATATATACAATCACATCGACATAGCCTAATAAAATATCCCTGTCAACCACAGCCCTTACCCTGAACTAGTCAGTGAGATGAGAAAAAAACATGTCAACATCAATACAGTATGTCCTGTGTCCGTCTGACTATTTTTGAAATAGCTACAAAATCATGAGGTCCATTTTGAAAATGTTTGGTTGCGCAGAGTATGCGTGGCTCAAACCCCTATGAGTTTCATTTAATTTCAGTCACGCATCACTACACATTATATATCGATTATTATCGATCGTAACAACATTTCTGGATGCAACCCTACAAATAAATTCCCATAGACACTAGTGCTAAATGCCCATAATTCAAAATTCTTTAAAAAATACTAAGAACTCTCACATGTATTCAAGCTGCACAGAAAAATGATGATCAACATCTCATCTGTCGTTTTCTTTTCATTTTTTGGTGGGTTGACCATTGACTTTTCGAGATATTCTCACCCAAAGAAGACGACCCCTATTTTCCCCCAAAGCGGAAAAGTAGCCATCTTGAAAAAGATCCCTCCACAACATGGCAAAATAGCGCCACTTTCGAGCCCAAAAGCATCCAAAATGCTCAGCATTGGAAGCCCCAAGTCCGGGCCAGAGGTTCATTACCATATCTCTTCAATTGCCCCATTTTACGGCGCTCAGAACTCTCTAATATAGAATATTTTGAGGGTATAACTTTTATTCATGAGCTCGGCGGATGGATTTAGGCCTATTTACCGGTGTGCACCCTTCTGGACACTGTAACCAAGTTCCATGTCCTTCATGTTGTGAAAAGGGCTGCAGTTGGGATTAGAATCACTCATCATGGCAAAGCATCAGTTTAATGTTCATGGGCAAATGGTTCCAATTCCAAACCACATCGGCCTTTTTTCCACAACATGCAAGATTTCACACAGCTTGCATAACTCAGCACTGAAATTGGTTAAGGCATGGAACTTGGTCGCAGTGTCCAAAAATGTTGTTGTGCTCAATTGACAATTATTGTGTAGCGATGCGTGACTGAAATGAAACTCATAGGGGTTGAGGCCAAGGCTTAGGAGTATCTACACAACCAGCAATTTTCAAAATTGACCTCACGGTTTTGTAGTTATTTTAAAAACAGTCAAACTGACACTTTTTTTGGGGGGGGGGCAACACTGTACAGGGTGAGTAAAAAAAAAAAGCGCGGGACCCAAATCCGCAAAATTATCTTTCATATTTAAAAAAAATATGTAGCATCAAACATGGAAAACCGATTTCATAAGCTACTTTTAGATGAAAAAAATTACTGAAATTACTCAATCCGTTCAAAGAATGTCGCCATTTAAACACAACGACTCTAAACCCTCTTTCGTCCAAAAATGCGAATTCAAGAATCGTCGTCATAATTGTCTTCGAACATCACCAGCGACAAAATCTCAGTTGAAAGTTAAACATGTTCAACAAAGTCCTTTTGAAGGCCTGTCTTTTAATAAAAAAAGTGGATTTTATAAATCTTGTTTACCTATCTAAGGTTGTTAATCAAAATATTGTGCACTACAGTTTTTGACAGTAAACAAGTATTCTGTGTGATTTTCTCTGTTGTTCCAAACAGTCAAAATAGGGGAGGGGGGTTTGGACGAAAGAGGTTTTAGGGTCATTGCGTTTAAACGGTGATATTCTTTGAACGGATCGAGCAATTTCAGTAATTTTTTCCATCTATTATGTTTTAGTGCTACATATTTTTTGTAAAATATGAAATATATTTTGTGGGGGTTTGGGTTCCGCTTTTTTTGACTCACCCTGTATAATGAATACAGAAAAGCTAGAAAAGTGTCTTAGTACATGTACGTCGGCTGTATTCGATTACCTGCAATATCCTCCCGTGTATCGTCTTTGACGTCCTTAGAACCTCCTTCTGCCATTTTCCTTCCTTCCACCTGTTTATTGGTTCACTCCTTTTCAAAAACAAATTGAACAAATATTTGAAATTCTTCGTAAAATATTTCCATAAGGAAATTATATTTTCATCTATAATTAAAACATTCGAAAAGGCTAAATTCTGGATTTGGAAAGAGGCGACCATGCAGTCCAAGACAAAAAGCTGTCAGTCCAAACTGATTTATGAAGACAAAACAAAAAACTGAATGAGGAACAGTTGTGGTCCTAAATACACCGTGACTGAAATGCATCCAGATGGCCAACATAGACCTCATTCACTAGGAAGACTTTTTGGGTCGTGTTCTCTGAATTTATTTTATGAGTTTTAAACTCCTGAATAGGATGGTGCCAGACTATCTTATGATTGGAGTGCGTGCCAACCCTCACTTTTGTATGTGGCTTGAAACATAAGGATATGTTCAATCACAAATTTATAATTATTCAACAGAGCAGACTGGTATTAATTTGTAATGAAATTTTATTGCATTGCTTCCGAAAATCAAGAGTTAATACCTCGCTTTCAATTTAATGTGGCCGACTCGTGAATACAGACAGAATACGTTATCCTATAAACATCTACACCCGGAAAACGAAAAAAAAGAGGGGGGGGGGAAGGAAAAAGAGGTGCGAATTGCTTTTAATTTGATGAGGGGTAGGGCAAATGCTCCCCTGCTCACGCTCGGAAAAATGATAAATTGAGAATATAATGAAAAAGTTAAGGAATTTTTGGGGAAAATTTGCTTGCCCCCCCCCCCCTGGAAAAAATCCTAGCGACGCCCATGCATGTACATATGATGTCGACCAGGACAGAATGCCCCTAATTATATTTACATATCCTCTCATCGCCTTCATATACAAAATTAATATTCGCAATTAAAGAAATGTCAGGAAAGTTATTTCTTAAACATAATTTTGTAGGCACTAAAGCCAGCTTTATATTATTAGGCCCACTGCATTCCGGAAGTGTAACTTATGTCAACCTGTGATCTACATATATTTCTACACACTTACCCGTATCCAAATGATATCGTCTGACGTTGGCGTATGTCAGTTTGTCCGATCAGCCAAAGGTTGATGGCTTGGCAAGACCATGGAGCTATAATTTTATAAATAGCTCCATGGCAAGACAAATACGAAACAGAATCCTGATCCAATATGGCAAATAATGTTGCACCGTGTTGAAGCAATGGCGAATTTATGAATTTATTTCCTCATTTCGAAATACCAAGTTCGTCAGTCACGGGTCACTGAGTGTACACAAAATGGCCCTTAACAAAAGCCAACAGAGCTTGCCCCAGAGCTATAGAGGGCCAAGCTTCAACGATGGCGTGCACAAAACCCATCACGACGAAGCCCTTGTCAGGCTAACCAGTACCCCAAATCACGCTGGTGGGATCGTGACATGAATTTTACACTGGAACATATATTGTACAAATTTTAATTCCTCTGAAATATGTATTTTTCTTTAAATAAGAGACATCCTTTTTTTGTTAAAATTATTGTAAGGTGCACTTTTTTACGCATTTAAAATGTTCTCTGTGTTTTGTTTTTTTTCATGACAACCGAGGGAGCTGCTGCTGTGATATCAGTCAAGGCACACACATGGGTTTTCGGTTCAAATTGTGAACCCCAAAATTTGCTCACTGCAAACTTTTTGTGCATAAAGTTTACTCATTGATTCACTGTCATGTACTAAAACAGCAATTACTGCAACAGCCAAAAATAAAGATTCTGGCCGCCTTATGGTGCTGAGGTATGCTGTACAGGCCCCTTTATGATATAAGACATTTCTGCCTTGAGTGTTATCACAGTTTGGCACTGTCACACTGTACAGGGGGAGTAACAAAAAAAATCGAAACCCAAATGTCGCGACTATTGTTTTAGTGAAGTTCTACATTTAGCACTTTCACAATCTAGGATATATGAAAGCTCAATAAAAAAAGCTTTCGTTTAGTACAAGAATCATTCAATCACTCTTTTACTTTATTTACGGAATTTCAAACACAACCACCGTTTTAAAATTCTGTCCACAGATCACACAAAAGGTGTGCGTTGTTTTAGCAAAACGCAAACAATTCACACATATACCTATGTTAGCTATGTTATTATCAGTAGACAGAACTTTAAAACGGTGGCTGTGTTAAAAATTCCATAACTTGAAAATTACATGAGTGATTTGAATTATTCTTGTTCTAAAAGAAAGCCTTTGAATTGGGCTTTCTTATTCTAGATTTTGAAAGTGCTACACGCAGAACTTCATTAAAACAATGGTCCCGACATTTGGGTTTCGGTGGGTTTTTTTTGGTCCAATGGTTACGGTTTTCGACTCGTGTGCTGTGCTAGTTTTCTATGCATATGGCTTCGAATCCGTGTATGTGTATACCGTATCACAAGTGGGACATACTCATGGGTGGAGAGAGGCAATCGTAGTAAAGTGCCTTGCCCACACATACGTTAAGCAGATAAGCTCAGTGGCTGAATTAAAAATTATCCTGCATCAGCCGAGATGAACCTAATTGCCACTGAAAACTCAGGTACGGACATATTCTTAATCTCTGCATGTATCTAATCCCTTTAAAAAAGAGCACTGCTTGCCCTTGATGTCGGCGTAAAATAATAAAATGTTGTAATTTTAGGGTTTTTTTGTTGGGGGATCCAGGGCGGTAAAATAGACAATAATAAACAAAAAGTTTTCAAATGAAAATTTGTACGCCATTGTTGTAGATTATTTCCTTTTTTCCTTTTTTTTTATTCAACAACCCAATAGAATTTAAAAAGTTGTTTGGCTGATCCTTATAGATATTCTGCCTAGTGCTTAAACATTCCATGACATTAAAGTAATCTTTATCGAGACAAAATAAATGTTAAAAATATTGAAAGAAAAATATCTGATTATTTTTTTTAATAAATTGGTTTTTAACAAAGAAATATAGTACTTATCAACTCTCGTTTTAATTCAGACGTCAAAAATTCTAGCCAAACATCAAAGCAGGGTATGTTGTTATATTTAATACAGATCTTTATTTGGACTTATTATGTTTGCACAGGGTGAGTTAAAAAAAAAAGGAACCCCAAATGGCAGGACCATATTTTTAATGAAGTTCTGCATGTAGCACTTTGATCCCTATGGGCCTTATTCGCGAGTTGGCCATTTTTGTCGAGTTCCCTGAATGTTTTTTTATTAATTGTTAATTGTTGAATTGGATGGCGCCAAACTATTTATGCAGGCACAATATGCAGCATTATTTTACTGTCTTTTTTTTAAAATATGGCTTAACACATTAGAGATGTTTATTTTTTAATTATTTATTGAGGCAGACTGGAATTGATTATAAATTAAGTTGCTTTCATTTCTCTCCACAAGTTAAAAAAAATGAAGATTTTACTTAACTTTCAATTCAATAATGGCCGACTCGTGAATAAGGCACATGTGAATTGTTTTCGTTTTGCTGAAAGAACACACACTTTTTTTTGTGATCCGTGGACAGAACTTTAAAACGGTGGTTGTGTTTAACATTCCGGAACTTGAAAAGTAAATAAGTGACTTGAATTATTCTTGTATTAAAAGAAAGCTTATGAATTGGGCTTTCATATCCTAGGTTTTGAAAGTGCTACATGCAAATCTTTATAAAGAAAATGGTCCTGCCATTTGGGTTTCCCTTATTTAACTCACCCTGTTCGTTTGAAGTTGTATCACCCGCGCTCTCTTAATGAATTCGATTTTTTGTTCTCTTCATTATTTTCAACTTGTACATTATTTCAACTCCAAACAAAATCCCACGGGTATTAGCAACACTCTGGAAAAGGGGTTTTTATCTTGGCAACAAAAGGGGCTGCCTTACGAGCAGACTGGTTTCCGGTCAGTACACTAATATACGGATTATGGGGCGGGAACCAGCCTTCTAGCGAGAATGGAATTATTGTCGGGCCGCAAGTAATTCGAAATTTGTAATAAGTAATAATTCAAGAACTAAAAATGTGAGCGAAGTTTTTGTCGAGGTCTCATTCAAATTTGAACTCATGAATTGTTACAAAAATAGAAATTTATAGAGTGGGAAACCTTCTTTTAAAGAGAGCCGTGTTTCACCCGCGATGATCAAATTGCTAGTGCCTTCTTAAGATTATGTAGCCGACTCTTTACAAAATTGTAAAACGTGTACTCCAGGTGAAGTCTTTGGCGCAAAACCTCCTCAGCTACTGGTGATGGTCTGTACTTTTTCTTGGAAGCCGTTTTGATCTTGCCATTTGCCCGTGTGTACAATCCGGGCAATCCCTTGAAGAAATGCGGAAGACGTTTCTCAAGAACTTTCAGCGTGCCATCGTAGTCTTCCGTCAAGCCGACCACCGAGTAATAACGCATGACGTTTACCATGGCGCGTCCAAGCGACCAATCAGAGGGTGTCTTACATCGCAGGTCGTGGCCGCAAAAGTAACGGATGGTGACCGACGCGCTCTCAATGCTGCATTCGGTTTCGTTGTGTAGGATGCAATCGTCTAGAGTCAAATTCTTGTTTCCTCTGAACATCTTGTGCCATTTGTTGCGCGTGCCGTCACCGAAACGGTTGAAGTTGAAGGAGGACACCAAGCGGTCGACGGGATCTCGGATCATGCTGAAGTACGTGGGCTGCGCCATCTTGAATTCAGTGAAGTCAATGAAGAACAGTTGCCTGGCCAGAAGGAAGGGCGGCCGAATTCTACCCACGGCCCGCGCAAATCTGTCCTGAATGACACCGCTGTGGTTGAACACGACCGAGTAGATCATGTAGAATTTGTTCTTATCGGCCGCTGATCTGATCAGATCTAGCATGAACCGACTGCCGGTCTTGGGTATTCTGGTGTATATCACAGCTTTCGTGGCCTCCTCTCGAGTCAACCCAGGCACGAGAGAACCTTTTTTGGATTTCTTCAGGGGTAGGGTTTTCCAACTATGACTAACCAAGTCATTCCACTTGTAGTACGTCTGCCCAAAACCCTTTTTCGTTGTGTTGTTACCAGTAGACCCGCTTCCCGAACCTACTGATTTGTTTTGAGACAGCTGAGAAATCAGTGCTACCCTCAGCTCCTTACCGGTCTGATCTGGTTTCAACTGGTTCGAACCAGCTCTGCCCAGATCCGTATGCTGCACCTCTGCACCCTTCCTCCTGATCTCTGGCGCCATTTTCCTGTCAGCTTTTTCCCGTTTAAACCGTACGTACTGCACACCAGCAATGAGGCATAGCCCTATGCAAACCAGCAAAATCACTTTGCGATTGCGTCGCATTTTCTGTTGTTATCCTAACAAAATCCAATCATGGATGATGGAGGGAGATACCAAAACCAAACAACAGTTACTGTCCTCGTCAGGCGGTCTGAACTTCGATCGGTCGTTCGAAAGTTGGCCTACATTAATCCCATGCACACAGCTGTGTGGTATACTATAGTGTACAGTATTTTTGTACATGTAATACCAAAAAGTAGCTCATCATCACAAGGTCCTTCATTGTGGGATAGCGCATTGAGGCTCACTCAACTGAAACCGGTATAATGGACTAGAGCTAGTTGACCTCGCACTAAATACATATAAGGCCAAAAAAAAATAATAAGTCGGTCTCTGGTCAGCGCGCGCGTCGATTTTAATCATGCGCGTCAATCTTTTTTTTTCTCCAAAATGTTCCGCGGTAGCTCCAACAGCGCCCTCTATTGCCGCACCTCCTCAATTTTTTTTTTACCAAAGAGCACCAAGGAATGGGAAATTGCACCAAGGCAAATGATCGAGAGCACCAAGGCAAATAATGGAGGACACCAATGTACATGAGGACACCAAATAGCAAAATAGTACCCCACCTTGTCTGTACAATCCAAGCTTGAAGAAAAAAACAAAAAACAAAAACAAACAAAAAGCCGCGTCCCCGCGTCAATTCCGGAACTTTGGTCTGACCAGAGACCGAATATTTTTTTGGGGCCTAATATACATGTATTGGCCTAGTCAGACTCAGGACAAAGCGTTTGAGTATGATAAAGAACGATCTGTACATGTACTTGCAGGGGCAAGGTTCACTGATTCGAGCGCGAACAGACTTGTGACGTACAAAATAACAGCTGAATTACCTGCTGTCACCAAACCGTTGTTCTCAAGCCACCATGCAAAGACTCAATGGCGTAGACTTAGCCAGGATTTTTTTCGGGGGGGGGAGGGCAGGGGGGTACCAGAGTTGTAATGATTCGAATCAATGACTCGACTCGAGTCCGACTCGAGTCACATTTTTAGTGACTCGACTCGACTCTGAGTCCCTCAGGGTAAATGACTCGACTCGAGTCACTCATGCGAGCAACTTCGAATCCACTGCAGACAGTGCAGAGTCCCTCATCAGAAGACTGACTCGATTCGACTCGAGAGAAAAGGCTAAAAGACCCGAGTACAAAAATCAAAGCAACATTTTGCGAACAGCATTTGCAATGACTTACGGTGCAAAACACGGTACAGCAGCCGCTTGTCATGCACAGATTCCCACCTCATGGTTGTAGAACGCACACAAAAAATCTATAGGAACCGGACTTTTAACACACTTTCCAATTCGTTGTTTCATCATTCGCTTTGGGCGATTTCTTATAAAGCTCTTGGATTCGAATGCCGGCTAAATGTATGCCCTCCTTTTATCAATTTTGGCATATATTGTTCAAAATTCATGACTCGAATTGACTGGAGCTATTTGACTCGACTCGACCTTCTTGACCTAATGACTCGATCCACTTCTTTAAAAAATGACTCGACTCGACCGACTCGAAAATGAGCAGCGACGACGTGGATTCGAACCAGGGATCTTTGTATCCATAGCTCATCTCGCTATCCACTAGGCTACTGTGTGGTAGCTCGACGACGACCGTTCTTTAAAATGCTTTGATGTATTGTAACTAGTTGAGTAACTAACAACAATGCTGTTGATGTCATTGTCCGTTCTTATGGATAAACATGAATTATTCATGACATTGCCCCTAACCCTCCTAGGAATAAAAATTACGCCCGCCGCCCTGCAAACAGGACGCTGCATAGACCTTTCTTTTGTTTGTAAACATTGACGCCGTTTTATATGGACTGCCGCAAGCGCATAAATTTGAAGCCAGGGTTGGCCATTATTTTTCCAGAAAACTTCCTCATAACGCCTTCAAAACATAGTCAAAAGGCATGTGTACAAATTATGCTGTATGTTTGTTGACAATGTTGTATTTCCAACAATTAAATAATATTTGGGTTATCTGTAATAACTCTTCTTCATTTTTGCAGTGTTGGACCTTCCATAGTTTTGCAACCGGTGGTTAGCAAAAAATACAGTTTGCCAACCAAGCGTAGAAAGGTCTTTACTCTGATGAATCCGCGCTCTGATTGGTTGGATTTTGCGTGACCTGTACCTGCGCGTCATCAGGGTGCATACCTGCAAATAAACTCCCATGGACACTAGTGCTAAATGCCCATACTTCAAAATTATTTTAAAAATACTCAAAACTCTCACAGGTATTCAAACTGCACAGAAAAATGATGATCAATGTGTCATCTTTCATTTTCTTTACGATTTTTGGTGGGTTGACCATTGACTTTTCGAGATATTTTCACGCAAGGAAGACGACCCCTATTTCCCCCAAAGCGGAAAAGTAGCCATCTTGAAAAACGATCCCTCCACAACATGGCAAAATAGCGCCACTTTCGAGCCCAATAGCATCCAAAATGCTCAGAATTGGAAGCCCCAAGTCCGGGCCAGAGGTTCATTACCATATATCTTCAATTCCCCAATTTTACGGCGCTCAGAACTCTTTCATATAGAATATTTTGAGGGATAACTTTTATTCATTCATCGATTTACCGGTGTGCACCCATCACGGTCATGACTCTGCAGGTAGCAGACCAGTAAATAAACTACCATAGACCCCAATGGTAAATGCTCCCACTTCAAAAATTCGGGAAAAATACTCACAACTCTCCAAGGTGTTCGAGACACACATCAAATTAAAGCTTATTTCATCATCTTTCATTTTCTTTTCAATTTTTGGGGGGTCAACTGATGACTTTTAGGAGAAATTTCCATCTGAAGATGATCACCCTTGAAAATAGTCCTGAAGCCCATCGCCATTTTGAAAAACGATGCCTACACTCCATTGCAAAATAGAGCGCTTTTAGGATCCAAATTACATCAAAATTACACGGAACTGCAAGCTCCCAGTCCTGTGCACGGCTTCCACCCATATTTTTTACAAACCCTCAAGTTGCTGGCCCACATCATGCTCAAATACTGAAGATTTTGAGGGCATGCAAATCGTGATTTGGCCGGCGCAGGCAATTTCGGACCGATTTACTGGTCTGCACCCTGCAAGGTTTCAAACGGCTGTTAATTATATAAGATGATTCATTACTCTTTTATTCCAGTTTAAAGGGAATGTACAACATTTGCTTTTGCTGTAATTTTTAGAAATAAATGGATTTGGAAGATAAGTATGTTATAGCAAATATTGTTAAACTGACTTGTTTCACGTTTTGGGTTCGTAGATGCTGGAAAAACCAAGAAAACCAATCATATTCTTGTAGTCTGGTTCCCTGACGCCACTTAAGATGAACCGGAGAAATTTATAGACTTTGGGATCATGAGAATCAGTCTAGCAGGCTTGTAGTCTTCACAGGTGTGTAATCAATTGCAAAGAAACCGCAGACGAACTAAATATGAAAAATTAGCAGCACTTTTTGAAAAAAAGCCAGTTTTCTCCAACGCTGGTCGGCCGACCAGCGTTGGAAAAATACACTTTTTCTTGAAAATGTCAGCACACCAGGAGCCGCAACTTTAAAGGATGCTTTAGGCTGTCATTCCCTAACAATCCAGTGAGATCTTTCGTGATAATTTGATCATTTCGTTTTTGCAAAATTCAAGATTTGTCTGTTCGTTGAAAAGCGTTGGAATTTCTGTAAAACTTATCTTGCTCAGAATCACGAACGGTCGGAATGCATTATGCAACGCTCACGATTTTGTCCACATGGTCCGCAATGAAACAAAAATCACATCCGGTATGGAACGTGGGCATTTCTATGGGAGAGTTTTCGGATAGCATTTGCGCGCACTGTCTAACTGCGGTCTTAAACAGCTGCAGCCAGATGCTTTAATTATACATAGGTCATAGCCGCTTCCTTCACAAGATTCTACAATACATACAATACAATTCATACTTTAATATCCCATTGCGGGAAATTCCATGGCCTGTTTACACGTTACATGTATTTGATTTAAAACACATACAAAGCACGACTGTAAAAACTACACAAAATACAAAAATGCATATATCAATACAATAAATAAAAAAACAAAATTAACTTATAAGTTTTATAACATCTGTCCGTAGGCAAGTAAGATATATGCCAATTTACTCCCCCCCCCCTCCCCCCCCCCGCAAACAGGGCGCTGGGATACGCCGATGAGCTTCTAGTGAAGGAAGTGACTTATGACCTTTGTATAAAGCATCTGGATGCAGCTGCTCAAGACCGCAGTTATATGTGCACAAAAAATGCTATACGAGCGATATACGATCCGAGCGAACACTGCAGTTTGCAGGGCGGGGGTACGAGCGAATTTGGACAGGTACCAGTCTACGTACGATCGCTACTGCATATGGTGGCGCTATATTGCGGACGTGTTATGGATCAATCCGGAAGCAATCTCTATTTTTATTGGTCAGTAATCGCTGCATCTGATTGGTTGATTTTAGAATCCTTCCCGCGCAAATAAGGGGTATAATAGTCGACGCTAAAATTACAAAATTTAAGTTACTTGATTGTTTCTTCTGTAGTTTTGTCTAAACTATAACTCTGCGAAAATGTCTGGACGTGGTAAGGGAGGAAAGTCTCGCGCCAAGGCCAAGAGCCGATCTTCCAGGGCTGGTCTGCAGTTCCCCGTGGGCCGTGTTCATCGCTTCCTTCGCAAGGGCAACTATGCCGAGCGTGTGGGAGCCGGCGCCCCGGTCTACCTGGCCGCCGTCATGGAGTACTTGGCCGCTGAGATCCTCGAGTTGGCCGGCAACGCTGCCCGCGACAACAAGAAGACAAGAATCAACCCCCGTCACTTGCAGTTGGCCATCCGCAACGACGAAGAGTTGAACAAGCTTCTCAGCGGTGTCACCATCGCCCAGGGTGGTGTTCTGCCCAACATCCAGGCCGTTCTTCTGCCCAAGAAATCGGCAGCTGCCAAGGCCGGGAAGAAGTCATCCCAGTCTCTTGAGTACTAAGCGACAGGCAGCTCGACAACACAAAACCAAACGGCTCTTTTCAGAGCCAACAAATGAATAAAAGAGGTTATGAATCCGTGTCTGTGAAATGGCATGAACCATTCATTGAATGGTGCCAATCTAACAAGCATGACAAGTAACATTGTCTAAAGTAGGTATACAATGTATAGGGTCAGGGATGTGTTATATACAACAATACAATGAAGGGGGGAGGGAGAAGTGGGCCATCAAAAAGACAGGGTATACTTTGGCAGACCAGACATGCTTCCATGACAAACTTAAAAACACCTAGGCCTACTTGACTCGTACTTTACAAGCATACTACTAAGGTCTGAAGGTAGAGCCCAATAACAAAAAGCATAGCTGCCAACATTTCAAGATCCCAATTAGTAATCAACCCGCGCGGTCATTTTCAACTTCTCGTTTTATCAAAAGCTATACCAACATCAAGTACAGGTACATGGTTTACATGTACACATACATGTGCATACCCTTCTTGTTGTGAATAATAATGTACTGTAGGCCAAAAGATAATTTAAAAAGATTTTTTTTTTTTTTTTTTTTTAAATTAATTTTGTTTTAATTTTTAATGTCTGTATTTGTTTGTTGAAGTCAAATAAAAAATAACATCAATAACATGTGCGCATATTTTTTGGGAGATGCATGCTATCGATGTTGAGTTTCGAGTTCGTATTATGTTTTTACACACAATGATCTATGGCCACCGTGTGCAATAGAAATATCCCGCCAACATACCTTGCAAACGCATGCTGATTTATCTTTTCTGTCCGTTGTTACAAACTCAAACTCTATTACCAATTATTCCAACCATACTCTTATTAAATTCCATGATTAAAATCTCGCACTGATGGGTCTCATCCCGGCAATAAGCGACTAAATGTGCTCACGATCGTCACTGAAAAGTACTCACGGTCACATACAGTACACACAACCACACATCCACGAGATGCACACAAATGACACACCATTGAAAAATATTTTTAGTCTGGTCCTCAAGTACTCCACTGCGCACACTGCATTGATGTCTATCATGTGCTTGACTGCATTCTTATTAGACTTGTCACCAGTCCATCCATTATCGCGACATTTCGCCAGAAGTTTTCGGTCAAAAACGATACTTTACATTTTTTTTTTCGTGAGGTAGAAAATGGGAAATTCGTAATGTTTTAGTGGCAAATCGTATTTTCGTAATTTAACAAACAATTCGTAATAATTACGAAAAAATCGTACTAGTTGGCAGCTATGAAAAAGTAATAGTGCGTAAATAAATATAGGCCTATAATACAATCCCGAAAAGGGGGACCTATGATTATGAAGGGGGAATAAGATGAAAGAGAAATTAGTGTAAATAGGGAGGGGAAAAGCAACACCAAGAACACACATGACAAGCCCATGAAGCCTGTACAGACAGATTCAAACTTCCGACAAATCTATGTCCAGCCTCTTCCCACTTCCCATCCCTTTTCCCTTACTATGTCAGGGAAAATCTCAACCATTTTATCTTTACAGCCCTAATGTAAACTCTAAAATGTATGCTGATAGGCTATTTCAATATGTGTACACGTGTACACAGAGTTGGATCAAGAATACAAAATAATATTCAAAACGCTACTTTTATTTTAAACATGCAGATGGAAGTCCTTTAAAGGGAATATACATCATTTGCTTTTGCTGTAATTTTCAGAAATGGATGGAATTGGGGGTTGGAAATATATAGCAAATATAGTTACACTGACTTTTTTGAGGTTTTGGGTTTGAAAATGCTATAAAAACCAAGAAAAACAATCATTTTTCTATAGTCTGGTTCCCTGACTCCATATAAGAAGAAACAGAGCAGTTTACATACATTTGGGAATTGTAAGGTCAGGGAACCAGTCTAGCTGGCTCGTACCCGTTCATAGGTTTGTAATCGATTGCAAACAAGTGCGATGGTCAATTGGGGCCAGTATTTGGAAAAAGCCAGTTTTTTCCAACGCTGATCGGCCGATCAGCGTTGGAAATTGATACAAAAATACCACTTTTCTTGAAAATGACAGTATACCAGGTGCCATAATTTTACAGGATGCTTTACACTGGCATTCACTAACAGTCCAGCAAGGTATTTCAAAATTATTTGGTAGTTTTATTTTTTGAAGTTTGCAAATGTTGTATTTTCCCTTTAATACTTCAAATAAAATAATTCTAATAATATAAAAACAAAAAGGGGCTTTTGGGTGACACATGGTGACATGGTTTAACCTTTTCAGTCCCGGATCAAGTTTGTTCCTTGCTATGCAAGGATTTTATATAAAAACAGAATTAGTCCATGCACATACCAATTCATTGCAAATCCATGTCGGACCAAACTGCACATTCGGACATTTATTTTCCTTCATGATTACAGGCCCACGTTGTCAACAGTCATGCTTGAGCAAAGATGCGCAGGAAAGAAAAACACTTGTACATGTGTACATGTACATTTGTGTGGTGAGCAGCTCCCCATAGTATACAACATGGTTTGTGGGGAAACAGTGAAAACTCATGACCCCAAAGTGTTGGATGATTGGGACTAGCCGAGGGTGATAGTCCCAATCATCCAACAGCAAGTGATTTTGTTTTCACTATTTCCCCGCAAAAACATGTTGTATTTGTTTTACTATACCTCATGAATATTCATCAGGCAGGCGCGGTATTTCATTGGTCCATTCCACCATGTTTTTGATCGTGCAGTATTGGATCAAGTGAAAACATTATTTTAATTTAAGAAGACAAACAGAATAGAAAAATAATTTTGTGTCATTTAATAACTTTAACATTCACGCAAAACACTAGATATATTATTATTGTGTAAAATTTCACTCAGTTCCTCCTCGGTTAAGATCGCAAAGCAAGCACCACCGGTCGCCATTGTGATGTATGCTGTGACGTGACCCAGGTGTGTGATAGTACCTCACTTATTTTTGCGTGTTACGCGTGTGTACAAAGACGCAGGGAAATAGTGAAACTTTCACACGGTTGTTGCTGGAATGTACCAATGAAACGCCGCGGTTGCCTGATGAATATTTATGAGGTATAGTAATGTCATCTAGTGCCCCCCCCCCATCACAGATTTATGTCAATGTCTATGAGGTACATGTAGGCAATGACAGAACATGCATTAAATGTACAAAATTGCAGTTAGTTCAGCAGCAATGTAATCTGAATTCCTTCCTATTCGTAGACACCTTGCAAACAGAGCCGAAGACAGGCCTTTTCTTCTTTTATACATTCATTGTTTAGGCAAAAAAAAAAAGTCTCCGGTTTCTGGTATGCGCGCGCGTCACGATAGCCATGCGCGTCGGCAAAATGAAAAAGTTTTTTTTGCAATGAAAGATGATGTCTCAAAACCCTCAAACTCACTGGTTTGACTGGAATCCTGCTGCTGCACAATTTTAACATGTTTTTAGATGGGGTTATGATTGAGAATAAGCTTTATGTGGCCTCTCTGGACTCCCATATATTTGCACTAAGTTTAGTCGGACACCATTTGCAGTCATCAGCAGACATTTGAAGCAAAAAAAATCAGGTAAAAAAAAAAAAGCCGCGTCACCGAACCACTTTTTGGGCAAGCTCCATACCAGAAACCGGAGACTTTTGTTTTTTGGCCTTAATACTGAATTGATATAATATTTTGTCAGTGGGCGTGCTCTATGCATTGACTTCTCCAGCCCTACATGGGCCAGGAAAGAGTCCATCTAGGTCCAGTACAACGTCCCCAAAAGAAATATTCTGGTTTCCGACTGGGCCTACATGAAGCTGGTGAATTGCAACTAACAAATTGAAAATTATATACAATGGTAATAAAAATGATGCATTCAATTAATCTGAACTTCATGGCGTCAGGCATCGAATTTGTATCCGCATGGGCACAGTCTATGGATGTTTACCAGTGAAATTATACACAGGTTATGGGTAGGGAAGCACAGCAGAGAATTCTCCTCACAAATTGTCCCCCCCCACAATTTTTGCAAAGAAAAACATCTGTTCAGCAGAAGGGCTGAAATAAATAAATCTGCAAATTGGTGAAGTTTATCCTCCCCCCCCCCCCCCTGCCCCTACTGCGGGAATCCCCTCCCATACTGGATAATCCACAGGGTAGGGACACAACTTCCTAAATTGACAATAGTTTGATTTTGCCTTCAAAACCAACCAGCCCGTTAAACAATCGCCAAACAGCAATGTTTTTCCTGCATCCGTTTCCAGCTTTGCATCAGAAGTCCATTTACAAAGGTTCATTCGTAAACGACATAGTAGGAATCAGGCACTGCGGTTTGTTCAGCCTCTGAGCTGACTAGCGAGTCCGGTATGACCACGACCGTCTCCAACCGGAAATCTTCTCCTCCGTCTACCGTCTTCTCACTAGCCTCCTCGGGTCTCGTCTTCGACATCACCGTCTCGCCGTCGTCACATTCCAACACCAGCTCGCAGTTGGCATCATACCTGATCCCAACCTCTGTGCCTTGGCTGCTGCTGTTGCTGTTGTCGGTCTCGCTGCGGTTGGCAGTCTCCTGCTGCTGCTGTTGTTGCAGCTGCTTCTCTTTCAGGATTTGTTCGGTGAGTTCCAGGCTCTCGTAGCGTACGGTCTGAAGACGATATGACCCATCCTCATGTTTCTTGTATCTTTGTGATAAAACATGTTATAACTGATTTTCACTTTCAAAAAATATCGTTTCTATAAACAACATTTGAAACTGTGTAAATATAATCTGTTTTCGGCTTGCCATGTGTCATAAATTGATCTTAATTGAAGCTGCCTTTTCCGTGCTATTTTCAAGTTTCATCCTGAAGAATAGATTCCTTTTCTAAATCGTGACTGTTTTTGTGCATACTTTTACTCTTCAGACTTTCAAAAACGCTGAATTGTCTTTCATGATATGAATTCTATTAATTCCAATTCCTTATCCATAGCTTTAAAAAAAAACATATAAAAATATACATGTAACGCAAAGAATGGCTCGTGGAATTTCATGTCAAAAGATGTCTAGAGGACGGGCTTTATTTATTGGTAGCAGCTCTATTGTATTGTTCAGGGCTGACAATAGGAAAATGCCAGGCTGGAAAGTCCAAGACTGGCATGGCTTTTCATTGGCGAAGCCGCATCTTTGAATAAACTCCGGCTAAGTCGGCACTCTCGGAACCCGAGAATTTGTGACGACTTACGTAAATGCCGATATCTGCTGTAAGTCGTCTTTTTGCCAACTTACATGAATGGTCATTTGCACACATGATTCGTTGCACTAATTGGCTTCGGTTTACCCTGGATTATCTCCTTCATGCTTGAGTTGAATCCAGCAAATTAAACCTCGAATTGTATCATCACGTTTGGGGTATTGATAGTGGCGACCACGATACATGTGTATGTGCACAGTAACGAATTAAATGCGTGCGTGGTCCGGTATATACCACGCACACGTTGACTGCAGCAGTAGTCATTCAATAAGACGACCCCCAAATAAAATGGACAGAGCGCATGGGTACAGCCTAGAGAGGTTACTGGTATTGATATGCTCCCGATGCATATGGGATGTATGCAAAATGACACCCTTTTTCGACACCGATGCTTGCAGCGATCACGGGCCGTGCGAAACCACTTTTCACTCGACACTTTGCCAACCCCAGTACAGGAAGTCCATGCCGATACGTGATTTGTTGAATGCCGACTTACACAAAGGATTTTGTAATGCTTTTTATGGAAAGGGGACCGAGAGTAACACGACGACTTGAGCAAAATGGCGACTTATAAAAGCCGACTTAGAAATTAAAAATTCAATGGAAATGCATTACAGACAATCGGGACTTTAGTCAGACGGCCGACTTGAGCGATTTGACAAGTTGTACGATGTCAGTTTAGCCGGAGTTTACTGTATTCAGTTTGGGCCCTAAACATTATGAAAGTGAAAGGATTTGCCCTTCCTAATGAAATTCAAATGCCGCAGCCAGCTATTAAACCTCGGAATGTTCGGTGGTCAAGTGGCAGTAGTCTGCTCTAGTAAGCAGGAGGTTGCGGGTTCCAGTCCTACCCGAGCAAGCCTGTGAGAAGACACTAAGCATACTTGGTGTGACTCGAACCCACAACCACCAGCTTAAAAGTGCAAATGTCTTACATCTGTAAAACGGTTGTTCAAACATCCGTTTTCAAGAAGGGGTAAGACATTTTGGTGGGTGGGGGGAAAATAAGAGAGACTTTGATGAAGCCGAAAGTTGAAATCTGAAGAAAAAAAACTATACGAAAAAAAGGCACTGTTTACCTGAATCTACTGTGTCCTGACGGCCACTTGAACTTGTGTTTGACTTTGAGATGTCTGGTGAGCGTGGCCCCGCATGAATACTGCATTCCACAAACATGGCAGATGTACGGCCGCCTCTTCTCATTCTGAAAGAACAACAGGATTTCATTCAAATTGATTTCCTCAAAAATTCCTGATGCACTGGAACTGCAACAAAGTATCTGAGACTTGTCGAGCGTCTACAAGCTTCAAATCACCTTCGCTGGTCCCCACAGTGCCCTATCCAAGGGTGCTAGTGGAGGTTAATAGCTTTGAGCTCTCATTGGATGACTTTTGTTTACCCGATGACAGGGGGTCAACGCAGTTTCAGCACTCATTGGACAAATTGTTTGCCCACAGACGCCAATCAACTTTGATACTTTGTTAATAGCTTCGCTCGTCTCCACCCCCCTCTCACACTAAAGCTGCCACCCAGAATGCATTGCATTTTCTTACTAATTTTTGTACATGCGATTAGCCACCACAAGCACCCTATCCACAGGGGACGAGTGGTGGGCGGTGGGGACCGGCAAACAAATTACCAGCAATCGAAGAGGAAAGGTGATTTTGGATTCTCTACTATCGATAACATAACATTTTTCTGAGCTCTTTTCATTTCAAATTCTGTATCCAAAGGTTCACACTGGCAGTTAAAAAAAAAATATTATTTGAAAGCCATGTAGAAATATTTCAGTCTATGAAATAGCCGCTTGCACACACGCGTCTATGATACGCGTGCCGATCCGGCTATTAATTCTGCAAAACAAGACTGCGTCTTAACCTCAAGATTCTGACTATTCAGCGGGTGCCTTCTATCGGATCTTCCGCAACCCGTTGTTGCATTACAAAAACGTGGCAGCCAAATTGACCAATCAACAGCTTAATCCACATTTCTGCACGAACTGACTTTACAATTTCTAAAGTCGACTCTGATTGGCTGGCGCGCGGTGTTGCATATGCTCACATATATCAGACGTTGTTCCAGAGATAGCATGCAGGCTCTGTTGAAAAACGGATGACACTCAGAGTAGGAGTTATTTGCAACTAAATGGACAAGAACCTACCAATTCAATAGGTATCAGAGATATTATTCTGCCCGAAATGGCATCTAACAGTGTAGGTGGTTTCAAAAAAACGTGCCTGCGGGCACACTTTTTTAAAAGAATTACCAACGGAATCCAGCTGCAAGACCAACAAATTTATGCATACATTTTCTGCTTTCTCAAAATAAATAGCATCCATGGAGCTGAAACTTCAACAGCTACATTGCACCCCCAACTTGAGATTTGGTGCAATTTTGTCTCTTCAAACAAACAAAAATTCACACAAAAAATTCCTTCAACAGTAGAATTTCTGTTATTTTATCAATGGACTTTGCCATTCGAGCGTCTAAAAACAGCCAAACCGCAAATAAACGTCTTGAAACTAGACAAGCCTTTCCCTGGTTCCCCATACTTACAGTGTGGCATCTCATCATGTGCCTGCGCATGGTAGTCAGTCTGTAGGACGTGTACTCACAGCCTTCTTCATCACACATTATGAGATTGCCTGGCGTGTGTGTGGCGTGGTGCTTACGTAGAGCAGACAGGGACTTGCATCTACACAAGGAAAAAGAAAGGATCGGCGTGTTCGTGTATTTTTGAAGCCCGGTAAATAAGTACCGTAATTTTCGGAATATAAGCCGCGGCTTATACGTTGATTTTGCCCATGAAAATGTTTACTGCGGCTTATACACAGGGCGGCTTATACGCCGAGCCTTGAAGAATAAAAATGAAATTCACATGTGTATTTAATGTACTGGTATAAGAAGAGATATGTTGCTGAAATGAATTATCAATTAAAAAAATTAACGAACCAAAACCACGTGCCACGTAAAGGTGCCGAGCGGTAAAAAGTACGGTGAAAGCTGTCTTCGATCGACGCTTGCAAGCGCAACAAGCCGTACGTGATTCTAGTGCTGCTGCATGCAGCATGCTTTCCCCAGCGGACCACACCATTTGAGGTAATATAGGGGTGTACTATCTTGGAAACAATAATTACCAACATTTCCGCTGTTTAAAAAAAGAAAAAAAGACGAGTAATACTTTTTATGGTGTCCGAAACATTTCTTTATTCGATAATCAGTTGTTCAACGTCACAATATAATTTTTGTACTTGAAATGTATTCAAGAAACGATGTAAACCTCAAAACAGGGACTACATCACCCCTTACAAAATTAATGGATTCATCCATGAAAATGGCAGCATCGTTTTGACTATTTTCGAAGAAAGTTACGATCGAAACTTGAATACTGCTCGTTAGTAATCACAAAAATTTGATAAGTTTTGAGATAAAAACAGACCTGTATATTTTTAGGACAAAACAAATCAGCATCTGTTGCCACAAAGCAAGATTTGTAAGTAGCGCTCCAGTCATGCAACACACGCAATGGGGGAAAGTCACGGTGGGTTGCATACTCTCTCACGTGCTGCAGGAAAATGTTGTCCTAGGCCGCGCGGCGCAGGCTGCCGCGCTGGGCGATGTATTAACTTTTACGGCCGGGGACCGGACGGGGCAGCCGGCAGCAATTCCTGGTGTTTATTTCTCATCATCAATTTCCACATTTGTTTGTGAGAGTATCGATTGTAAATGATTTGATACAATTTTTGTGGCCCTTTTTATAGCTTCTGTAGTGTAAATGGAACTGGTTCAGAGCATTTTGGCTTGAATTTGGAGGCCTTACAAAATTGAAACCGCTGCCGTCGGTGCGGCTTATACGCCGGTGCGGCTTATACGCCGACTTCAAATCTTAATTTGCAGATTTTTGCGTGCTGCGGCTTATACGCCGCGCGGCTTATATTCCGAAAATTACGGTAGAGTGCAAGCAGTGTATGTCCCACATGCTTGACAATCAATCAAGTCGTGTTCGCACTGGACTTTTTCGGTAAAACTAACAGAGATTGTTGTCAATACAGACAGACTGTGCAATGCAGGGGATATAATTATATACACGATACTGTTGCCATGGATTGACCAATCAGGATCAAGGATTTAAGTTTGCATGCAGATAAAATGAAATTTCAAAAAGGAAACTTTATCTCAATGTATGGGTAGCGCAGTGTGTAAAGTGCTCCTTCTCACCAGGTTCGATTCCCGGCACAGGTCATATGTGAGTAGAGTTGTTTGTTGATTCTCCCCTGTGCAACCAGGGTTTTTCCACGATTCTGGTTTTACCTCCGGCTGCAAAAATCAAGACTTTGGATCTAGCCGTGCTTCTAGGTCAGACATGGGTCGTATGGTGGCTGCCTAAGGCCAAAAAAAAAAAGTCTCCGGTTTCTGGTATGCACGTGTCGCCGTAGCCATGCGCGTCGGCAAAATGAAAAAGGTTTTTTTTCAATGAAAGATGATGTCTCAAAACCGCCAAACTCACTGGTTTGACTGGAATTCTGCTGCTGCACAATTTTAACGTGTTTTTAGATGGGGTTATGATCGAGAATAAGCTTTATGCAGCCTCTCTGAACTCCCATATATTTGCACTAAGTTTAGTCGGGCACCATTTGCAGTCATCAGTCGACATTTGAAGCAAAAAAGTCAGGTAAAAAAAAAAAAAAGCCGCGTCGCCGCACCACTTTTTGGACAAGCTCCATACCAAAAACCGGAGACTTTTTTTTTTTGGCCTAAGGTGTCTTTACATGCCTGCAGCTTGACCACATTGTAGCCGCGTCCTTTTGCAAATCAGCTTTTGCTGTGAGTAAAGATGATTAGCCCCCAAAACATTTCTTCATTTATTACCTGTGTTCACAGAGCTGGCATTCAAAGGGACGCTCATCATCGTGTTTCCATTTGATGTGTGCTTTCAGCATGGATGGGTTTGTACATGTCATGTCACAGTGGGGACACTTGTAGTGATTAACTGCAATGAACAACACGAACCAAATAGCTCAGAGAACTATACATGTAGGGTGAGTAAAAAAAAAATGAAACTCAAATGTCGGGAATATTGTTTTAGTGAAGTTCTGCATGCAGCACTTGCAAAATGTAGGATATGAAAGCCCAATTCATAAGCTTTCTTTTAGTACAAGAATCATTCAAATCACTCATGTACTTTCAAGTTATGGCATTTCAAACACAACCACCCTTTTAAGGTTCTGTCCACGGATCACAAAAAAAGTTCAGTGCTCTTTCAGCAAAACGAAAACAAATCACATAGGGATTGCGTAAATTGTTTTCGTTTTGCTGAAAGAACGCACACCTTTTTTTGTGATCTGTGGACAGAACTTTAAAACTGTGGTTGTGTTTAAAATTCTGTAACTTGAAAAGTACAGAAGTGATTTGAACGATTCTTGTACTAAAAAAAAAGGCTTATGAATTGGGCTTTTATATCCTAGATTTTAAAAGTACTACATGCAGAACTTCAATAAAACAATAGTCCCGACATTTGAGTTTCAGGTTTGTTTTTACTCACCCTGTATTAACATAAACCTTCGACAGTATGTCCCCAAAAAAGTTGTCCGTCTGACTGTTTTTAAAATAAATACAAAACCATGAAGGCAATTTTGAAATTTTTGATTGTGCAGATACCACTTATCCTTGGCCGCAACCCTATGAGTTCCATTGTATTTCCATCACGCCTCAATGCACAATTGTCAATTGATCAGAAGAACATTTTTGGACACTGTGGCCAAGTTCCTTGCCTTAATCAATTTCAGTTCTACGTTACGTAAGTTGTACGTGTAAAATCCTGCATGTTGTGAAAAAAGGCTGATGTGGTTTGGGATTGGTAGCATTTACCCTTGAGCATTAAACTGAGGTCTTGCCATGATGACTGATTGCCAGGCAAATGATTCCAATCCCAACCGCAGCCCTTTTCACAATTGACAGTTGTGTAGTGATGTGACTGAAATTAAATGAAACTCATAGGGGTTGAGGCCAAGGCTAAGGAGTATCTGCACTATCCAAACAATTTAAATTGACTTCATGGTTTTGTAGTAGGACACTTTTTGGGGACATACTGTACAGGGCGAGTCAAAAAACACGAAACCCAAATGTCTGGAGTATTGTTTTATTGAAGTTCTGCATGTAGCACTTTCAAAATCTAGGATATGAAAGCCCAATTCATAGGCTTTCTTTTAGTACAAGAATCATTCAAATCACTTATGTACTATTCAAGTTATGGAATTTTAAACACAACCACCGTTTTAAGGTTCCGTCCACGGATCACAAACAAGGTGCGCGTTCTTTCAGCAAAACGAAAACAAATCACATAGGGATTGCGTAAATTGTTTTCGTTTTGCTGAAAGAACGCACACCTTTTTTGTGATCCGTGGACAGAAATTTAAAACGGTAGTTGTGTTTAAAATTCGGTAACTTGAAAAGTACATGAGTGATTTGAATGATTCTTGTACTAAAAGAAAGTTTGTGAATTGGGGTTTTATATCCTAGATTTTGAAAATGCTACATGCAGTACTTCCCTAAAATAACGGTCCCAACATTTGGGTGTTTTTTTTTTACTCACCCTGTATAGATCAAAAACTGCTTATGGCTCTGTACTGTACATGGTGCGTTGGGGCCTAATTCAAAGCATATTAGATCATTTGCATTTATCCCAAAGTAACCTGGCAAATTATTTACTCGGATTAAAGATCGTACTGGTACTAAAAAATCTGTGAAATTATTTATATTTCCGTTCTCCAACTTTGCTTTAGTAAGAAAACGCTCAATTGTTACAATCAAAATGGGTGAAGAAAATCTGGCTTTAAAAAAGTTGGTAGATATCGGAATCACGTACCATGATGCCTCATGTGGTCTCTTAGCAACCGCTCCGATGCAAAGATCTTGGAGCAGTGGGAACACTGGTAGTTTTGCACTGAAGAACAAATAAGTCATAATGAACGTTACGATGTATGTTAGGTATGATCAACCCTGCAGCCGATTTCACGAAACAGTGCGTACCTTACCATTGCGTATGCTGTTGTTCAAGCAACAGCCCCATGACGGATTGTCTGTACAATAGCTAGCACAATGCTTCCGCCATTGAAGGGGGCCTTCGTGATAGAATTGATAGCACGCTTGGATTGGTTTATCGTCAAAAAGATTATTAACCCTAACGTACCTAAATCCATCAAAATCCACACCCCTGTTTTGGAGGATTTCGGTGGATTCAGGATACCTCCATATTGAAAAAGTTGGGGGATTTTGATGAATTCAGGACAGTAAGCCTAGCGGTACTGCAGCATTTTGATGGATTCAGGATACCTCCATATTGAGCAGTTGGGGGACTTTGATGGATTACAGGATCTCAACAGATTTACTCCCGGCTAACTGGTGGATTCTGATGGACTCACTGGCCATCAACGATTTTTTTGCATGGCAAAATTGATGGATTTTGGCGGATTCAGGATACTTTCTAGTAAAAATACCTAAGGGGTTAGGGTTAAAGTGATGAAGAGATTTGAACATATTTGATTTCCTTTAAAACTCTAATTCACGACAACACTAAGGAATGACTGTGAATGAATTTGGTTCTTTGTTACAACATTTTTCAAGTATTATAACAAATTTATATATTGTATCGCGGCATAGGCATATTTTTTTTACCCCTAATTAACCCTAACCCCCTAGGCCCTCTGGCTAGGATGCAACCTCAATCCTGCAAAATCCTCCAATTGCCACCCAGACAAAAAAATTGGATTCAGCCTCAATCCTCCAAAATCAGCCATTATTTTCTTGACTTTAGTCTGTGGAGGGTGACCACTGCCTCAATCCTCCAAAATCCTCTGCCAATTACTGCTGTGGTTTGAGGCAGTGCGAATGGTGTTTAGAAGCAGAGCGGATGAAATACGAGAAAAACACAGGGCTGATTTATGCATGGCTGAACATAACCAATGCAGGATATGGCCTACTGGTTTGACGTAATGCATCCTCCATAAAAAAAGCGATACATCTTTGCCATTCATCCTCAATCCTCTAAAATCATCCAAAACCGGCAAGAGGATTTTGGAGGATTGAGGAGGGTTAGGGTTAATCAAGTTAATCACTGGAGAAAAAGAAGGATTTTGACTTACATTCTACGGCAATCTGTCTAGCAATGTGATCGATGAATTTGGCTCTGTTACTGAAGAGACTACCACACTCAGCACAAGCAAATCTCTTCTCCTGGGTATGACTGCGTAGATGCTCAGCTAACTTGTATTTGGTCTTGGTCACGGAATCGCAACCTGAAAATGAAACAGATGAAATCCCGAACGTCAATTAATGTCCGAAACTGAAACCGACCTGACCCGAGCTGATTTCAGTTCGGATCAAGTCGGTTTTCCATTAGTTCAGTCGGGTCGGGTCGGTTTCGGTTTTGGGTGTGCGATTTCGTGTTGGGTGGGGTCGGTAACAGCGGACACATTGTTTGTGAAATACAAGCCAGATATTCAGGTTGTTATCACGTTGGTTCGGTTTGGTTCAGTTCAGGTCATTTTTTCCGTAAATATTTGTCGGGTCGGGACTTGGGGAGTTCAGATTGGTTTCAGTTCAGATTCGGTTTATATAGATCTTTCGGGTTGGTTTGGCCTGGTCAACCCAACCTGATACTGTCAATGAAACAATGTGCATTGACCACTTAGATCAGGACATTTGGTCAGGTGACAGCCGCTTGGTCAAGCTCAGTCACATGAATTGTGGGAAATGTACAAAAACATTACTTGGGCCCTCTACAGCACTAAGCATGTGACACTTCATGTCAAAACCAGATGCTTCTGTGCTGACCAGTATTTTTCCCATAGAGGTGACTATTATATTTAAAATGATTTGCAACAGTCTCTCAGTTTAATTTTATCTAATTTCAAAATTGTGACCTCATAAAGTCCAAGTGAGGAGAATTTTGCCAAGGAGAGTCGGAAATCAAACATTAGGCCAAAAAAAAAAAATATTCAGTCTCTGGTCAGACCAAAGTTCCGGAATTGACGCGGGGACGCGGCTTTTTTTATTTATTTTTTTTTGGCTTTTTTTCTTTTTTTTCTTCAAGCTTGGATTGTACAGACAAGGTGGTGTACTATTTTGCTATTTGGTGTCCTCATGTACATTGGTGTCCTCCATAATTTGCCTTGGTGCCCTCGATCATTTGCCTTGGTGCAATTTCCCATTCCTTGGTGCTCTTTGGTAAAAAAAATTGAGGAGGTGCGGCAATAGAGGGCGCTGTTGGAGCTACCGCGGAACATTTTGGAAAAAAAAAAGTTTGACGCGCATGATTAAAGGGAATATACATCATTTGCTTTTGCTGTAATTTTCAGAAATGGATGGAATTGGGGGGTTGGAAATATATAGCAAATATAGTTACACCCCCTTTTTTTAGGTTTTGGGTTCGAAAATGCTATAAAAACCAAGAAAAACAATCATTTTCCTGTATTCTGGTTCCCTGACTCCATTTAAGAAGAAACAGAGCAGTTTACATTTATTGGGGAATTGTAAGGTCAGGGAACCAGTCTAGCTGGCTTGTACTCGTTCATAGGTGTGTAATCGATTGCAAACAAGTGCGATGGTCAACTGGGGCCAGTATTTGAAAAAAAGCCAGTTTTTTCCAACGCTGATCGGCCGATCAGCGTTGGAAATTGATACAAAAATACCACTTTTCTTGAAAATGACAGTATACCAGGTGCCATGATTTTACAGGATGCTTTACACTGTCATTCACTAACAGTCCAGCAAGGTATTTCAAAATGATTTGGTAGTTTTATTTTGTTATGTTTGCAAATGTTGTATTTTCCCTTTAAAATCGACGCGCGCTCTGACCAGAGACCGACTTATTTTTTTTTTTGGCCTTATCAAGCTCTATCTATATTTGGACCTTTCAAACAAATTGTTTAGACCAGCAACCCAGTCTGTCGCTTACAGAACAGATAAACAAATACGCCACAAAGTCCACTTGTTGACCTACCTTCCCAGCAGCATGGGTATGTCTCCTTGCCTCTCACAATGACCGGATCCTCTATCAAGCCATGATTGTCGGCGTGACGATAGAAATGCTCGGCATTGTCTGTATAGAACTACACACACCCACAAAGGGAAAAGAAATGATGAAATAAAACAGGTACACAAAAATCGTACAAATTTCCTAGCTCAGTTGGTGGAACACTGGATTTTTTTTCTGAGATTGCCGGTTCGAATCCTCATTTTGTAAATTTTCATTGGGAATCTGGAATGGCATACCAGAGGTGGCAGGTTCAAACCCGCTCCCGTCAATTTCTTTGTTCAAGTTCGAAGAAATGTTCATTGGTCGACAGCATATTGATTAATATGCAAACAAACTCACTACAGCAAAAGTAGGACTGCCCATTTCCAACAATTTAGTATGAAATTACAGGTACATGTATTAGAAACTGCAATTTACCGAATATTCAAATATTCAAAACTCGGCAATCAAGTTACACGCACCAGCTGCAACAGCTTGCCACACCAGTCAAAAGATCGATACTAACACCCTGCTAAATCCAACAGAGTCCAACCGGACTTTCCTGCTTAATCCTTCTGTGCCTCATTTTCAGTTGTATGCTGAATCCAACGGAGTCCAACAATGCATTATAATGCGGTTCAGTTACCTGCTCAATCCAACATTTTGCATGAGGAATGTACACAAGGGGTTTACTGCTCAATCCAACAGGCTCCATCAGGTATGTGACATAGTTGGATCCTGTTGGATTCAGCAGGGTTAGGGTTAGGCCGCTGAAGGGTTCTGCAGTACAGTGGAACGTCGCTTTACCGAAACACCCCCCCCCCCCCGAACATTCGGCTATACCGAACATTGTGCTTGGCTCCCGATTTTTGTGTACAAAATGTACCAAACATTGTTGTTGATAATGCCAACAGAGGAGCGACAAATGGCTTCCCCCCCCCCCCCCAGGAGTAGAAGGGGTATAAGCCACCCATTGCTGTAGGTAGTAAGCTCGAAAACTGTGTGATTACATGATTCCATAGTCGGCAATGTTCAAAGTCGTCTTTCAGTAACTACCAGGGCGTGCAGGGTGAAGTTCTGAAGGGCGCTATTTATTAAGAAGTGAGTACCGGAGCACCGGCAGCTTAAAATCGCTATACCAAATCGCTATTACGAATAATTTCTGTGGATCCCGCTATTTTCGTTATAGCCGCATTCCACTGTATTTTATAACCCTTAAGGGCTTTTTTGCTAAGAAAATGGGAACCACCAACTGCCGTCAACAAAAACTGGCAGCTGACAATAAAGCCCTACAACTTTACGATTGAAATAAACATGACAGGTGTTATTCGATATATTCAAATATTTGGTGTATGCTGGCCCTAAGTATACATGTAAGGCTGCTTCCAAATTTTCTAGTTAAGAGCTTTGTCTAGAGCCCTTTTCACACTAGAGCCTCTAACCCCGGGTTGAACTCAACCCTGGGCGAATCCAGTGTCGCCCCGGGTTGAGTTTTTTATTCTTTAACCCCGCGTTCAACCCTGCATCGTTTCACACTCGTTTATGCTCAGTTACTTACTGTTTTCAACCCTGGCAAGAATTTCAACCCGGGTTGAAAATCTCAACCCTGGTCTGGAGCAGGGTTGAGTTCAACCCGGGGCAAAATCAATCTCGGGGTTGACGCAGGGTTGACGCAGGGTTGACGCAGGGTTGAAATTCTTCAAGTGTGAAACGCTGCATGTTTTCAACCCTGCGTCAACCCTGCGTCAACCCCGAAATTTGTCTAGTGTGAAAAGGGCTTAGGTCATTGACAATGACTTCTATGTAAACAAAAATGCTTACAACAGCCATCTAAGATTTAACACCCATTTCAGACATGGCTAAATCGTGGTACCAATTAAATGAGATTTAATCTGGTGCCAGAACCTTATTGGATCCATCTCATAGTAATCTCAACCAAAGTAACAGGAAACCAGACCAAGATGGCAGTCACTCACCTGGCAGTCTGGCCAGTAGCAGACGAACCCTTCCGGCAGGTCCGGGATCAGGTTCCTAGTCGTATTTCCCAGAATGCACTCGCCAAAGTTATGTTTAGACTGCTCCTGCTTGGCCCACCATTTGATCTTGGCGTGGTAGGCGTGGAAGTACAGGTGCCGGATCAGTGTCACCTCGCCTTCCGTTGTACTAAAACTACATCCCGTCCAATGACAGGGCAACTCCTCTGTAGGGGGACATCAGAAAGAAAGTGGGAAAGATTTTCATATACGAAGTTCACTCAACACCCTGTGTACAAACCCTATGAGATTGGACTGAAATATTCTAAGTGTTTTCTAAGAAAATGCTTGTATGTATTTTCTCACTGCTCAAATTGACTTTGATGACATGAAATTGCTATCTGGGGGCTTTTTAGTCAATACAGAGGAAAATTAGTGAACTTCGCATATGGTAATCTTGCCAGAAAGTGTTTAAAACCGAAATAATCTCAATGAAGACAGTCAGAGCATACTGACCGGTACGTCAAGTTTATACCTCTGGTTCTTTTCAGAACCATTCTCTTAGTTGAGACATTATTCGCACATGGAGTTTCCGCAAACCTTTCATGCTCTGACTATCTTCTCCTGAAGATGGTCAGAGCATACTGACCAGAACGTCGAGTTTATACCTCTGGTTCTTTTCAGAACCATTCTCGGAAAGATTTCCATATACGAAGTTCACTCAACACCCTGTGTACAAACCCTATGAGATTGGACTGAACAATTCTAAGTGTTTTCTAAAAAAATGCTTGTTTTTTCTCACTGCTCAAATTGACTTTGATGACATGAAATTGCTATCTGGGGGCTTGTTAGTCACTACAGAGGAAAATTAGTGAACTTCGCATATGGTAATCTTGCCAGAAAGTGTTTAAAACCGAAATAATCTCAATGAAGACAGTCAGAGCATACTGACCGGTACGTCAAGTTTATACCTCTGGTTCTTTTCAGAACCATTCTCTTAGTTGAGACATTATTCGCACATGGAGTTTCCGCAAACCTTTCATGCTCTGACCATCTTCTCCTGAAGATGGTCAGAGCATACTGACCGGAACGTCAAGTTTATACCTCTGGTTCTTTTCAGAACCATTCTCTTAGTTGAGAAGTTATTCGCACATGGAGTTTCCGCAAACCTTTCATACTCTGACTATCTTCTCCTGAAGATGGTCGGAGCATACTGACCAGAACGTCGAGTTTATACCTCTGGTTCTTTTCAGAACCATTCTCTTAGTTGAGAAATTATTCGCACATAATGTTTCTGCAAACCTTTCATAATTTAGTATCTCCACCCTGCAAAGCCTCAAATCTTACTAATCTCAATGATTTTACAGTACATGTTGGCCAATTTAACCCTCCTATGCAAAGATCCATACTGTGCAAAGTTGTCCTTTTCAGTCAAATCAGTCAGAGTATGACTCGGGTCAAACATACAAACATACGTGTCACAGACTTCCACCTCAAGGTTCTAGAATGCACAAAATACTATCCAGGAACCGGATTTAAAACACACTTTCCATTCTGTTGTTTCATCACTGGCTTTGGGCAATTTCTTATAAAGCTCTTTGATTTGAACGCTGAATAAATTGATGTTCCCCTTTATAAATATTGGTATATAGTATTCAAATATTCGTGACTCGAATTGACTCGAGCTAAATACTTGACTCAACTCGACCTGCTTGGCGTAATGACTCAATTTGACTTGAGTCACTTTTTTAAAGGGAATGTACAACGTTTGCTTTTGCTGTAATTTTCAGAAATAAATGGATTTGGAGGATTAGTATGTTATAGCAAATATTGTTAAACTGACTTGTTTCACGTTTTGGGCTTGTAGACGCTGGAAAAACCAAGAAAACCTATCATGTTCTTGTAGTCTGGTTCCCTGACCCCACTTAAAATGAAACAGAGCAATTAATACACTTAAGGAATTGTAGGCTCAGAGAATCAGTCTAGCAGGCTTGTACCCCTTCACAGGTGTGTAATCAATTGCAAAGAAAAGTCAGAATAACTAAATATGAAAACTTAGGGACAGTTTTTGGAAAAAAAGCCAGTTTTCTCCAACGCTGGTCGGCCGACCAGCGTTGGAGAAATACAGTTTTTCTTGAAAATGTCAGCACACCAGGAGCCACGATTTTAAAGGATGCTTTAGAATGTCAGTCCCTAACAATTCAGTAAGGTATTTCGTGATAATTTGATCATTTCGTTTTTTGATGTTTGCAAATGTTGTATCTTCCCTTTAAAATGACTCGAGTCACAAAAAATCAGTGACTTGTTACAACTCTGAAATCAGTCAAGCGACTGTTGGTCGAGTGCTCCCTGCCTGCATTAAGCAGGATGAACTTGATGTGATTGTTATATGTACCGGTACCTTGATACAGCTATGCTTTGACTGCAGGTGATTGACAGTAAGCCAGCTGTGCTGACCAGTTTCCTGCTTTTGTCTGTTGACTGAATTTGACTAGTCAGAGTGCTTGCTTGAAATATGATCTGACTGTTAGTGACCAGCCTGTGTAGAAGGCATGGCAGGGGATAGCCCAGGGGACTCCCTTACTTCCTACGTTATGGAGGGATTGCAATGAAGATGTCGTCCAACCTGGGTTAGGCAGGGAACAGAATTGACTAATGCCAAAAATACATTGATATGTCGTACCCTTAAATGGCGTGATTTCAAAGTTCTTGTAGTTTTCCGCGGTGACGCCCTCTGGCAGGAGAAGGTCGACGTGCTCGTTGACGTGAAGCAGGAAGGCATCCATTCTGTTCCTGGTCTGTCCACAGCTCTGCCACTCACACTCCAGCACCATGGCCCTCTTCTTCAGGTCCGGGGGCATTCTGGCTCAGGCTGGCTGCGACTGGCTACGACCGGTTCTGACTGGTTCTTGTATGAGGCGGGAAATCTGGGCAGTTTGGAACTGGGCAAATCAAAGAAATTGCACATGTAAGCAAGCGTGGTATCATTATAGGCCATGAAAACAACATTTCTAGATTTACATCCCCTACCAAGAGAGCTGTATGTGGCTTTCTTGAACCCTAACTCCCTAGGCCTTTTTGCTAGGATGTAGCCTCAATCCTGCAAAATCCTCCAATTGGCCTCATGGAAAAAAAGAATATAGCCTCAATCCTGCAAATTCCTCCGTTGTTTCTTGAGTATGGTCCATGGAGGGGTGACCACTGCCTGAATCCTGCAAAATCCTCCGGCTGTGACTGTCAATAGGCTGAGGCAGAGGCAGTGACATCCTGGAGCAGTGCGGCGGATGTCAAGTATAATCAAGGACTAAATTTATGCACGGCTGAGCATAAACAACACAAGGTCCGGCCCAAGACCTTGACACAGTGTGTACTCCGAAATCAGCAAAGCACTTTTGCCATGTAACCTCAATCCTGCAAATTCCTCCAATTTGCAAAAAGGATTTTGGAGGATTCAGAGCGGTTAGGGTTAAGGAAGTGTGTATTCAGCCGGTTAGATTTAGCCGGCTATCTTTCAAAGTTTCAGTGAACGATATTAAGCCGGCTAGACTGTACAGTGTCCTCTTCAGTTTCATGTCTTTGATACATAGGCCCCTAAACTAAGTAGGCCTGCGTTAAAGTACGTATTAGGCCAACAACAAAAAATAGTCGGTCTCTGGTCAGACCAAAGTTCCGGAATTGACGTGGGGACGCGGCTTCTTTTTTTTTCTTTTTTTTTTTTTTCTTTTTTCTTCAAGCTTGGATTGTACAGACAAGGTGGGGCACTATTTTGCTTTTTTGGTGTCCTCATGGACTTTGGTGTCCTCCTCCATAATTTGCCTTGGTGCTCTCGATGATTTGCCTTGGTGCAATTTCCCATTCCTTGGTGCTCTTTGGTAAAAAAAAAATTGAGGAGGTGCGGCAATAGAGGGCGCTGTTGGAGCTACCGCGGAACATTTTGAAAAAGAACAAGATTGACGCGCATGATTAAAATCGACGCGAGCGCTGACCAGAGACCAACTTATTTATTTTTTTGGCCTTACCCACTACATGTACCATCATTGTTTGTGCAGCACCTGTGCCCTGTGGCAGATAGTGTAGGTCCATCATGAGTGAGAGATCCTAGTTTAACTCCCGGGCACCCGTTACCCGGCTAGCAACATTTTTATATATTTTTTTTATCCCGAAAAATTAATAAGAATGTTCTTCTTTTATGTTATTTGAAATTGACTCCAACATTTAATTACAGAGAATACGGTGTTTTTACAGTCATGACAGTAATATGCGCCATCTTGCCTGCGGGCCAATTTTACACGCGATGCTGTAATAAAATTCAAAAATACTGAATAAGTAAAGTGTACCGTTCTTATATTCCTCCATGAGTGTACAAACTACAAACAACATGACAATAGGCCCAATCAAAAACACAAATCACATCATTCATGTCAGTGTAACAATTATTAATATTTTATAACATTAAATTGTCTGCTAGTGTTGGTTCAATTCCAAACATTTCTAAGCCTCCAAGTTTAACAAAAGCCTCAGTTAATCTACTACAACCTTCCAAGGATATCACGATTCACAAGTCTGTCAAAACTTGACTGACCGGCCAGAATTATGTCGACGAAACCGGCGCGCGTTAATTTTCGTGCAAATTTTGCAAGGGTTCCGTAAATGGCGCCCTCTATTGCCCCGCAGAATTGGTGTTTTACAAAATGTTGTAGTCCCATTATTATTTGAACTAATTTTTAGGTTTCGTCGTATCATGCACTTTGAATGCAAAATGTGATTAAAACTTTTTAAAAGTACTAATTATACCTATCATTCATTTCTTGGCTTTCATTTTATTTGAATATCTCTTTATTTATTTTCAATATTGACCTGATTATGCGCAGTATGTCTCAAGATCGTATACTTTACGGAGTCGATATTTACAGCACAGCAAAGACGAGATGCGTGTTTTCGCTTGCAGCTGCAGTTCACAGCTTTTCACCCAAACGTTGGCGCCAATTTTTTGGTGATAATCATGGAAAAGAAGCCAGAAAATCAGCAACAGAAGGAAAGTGATGACCTGGACTTGCTTTGTGAGTTGGTTTATAGGCTTACCCCATCTGAAAAATATCATTTTGACGTATTATTTCGTACCTCTTTTCATTCGAACTTCCTGTGTTCCGTGTCTGGCCCACGCCCGTGAATTTTCAACGGCGTGGCAAAGCTGTTAACCTTTAGATAGCGTGGACTTGGCTGGGCACCAGTTACAACAATACACATCATATGTGATTAAGCTGGTAACCCAAACGTGCTGAGCAAAAGCATTTCGTGCTCAGCACAGTTTGTGCTGGGCTGAAACTTCGAGTTCAGCTTTGGTTTTTGGAATATTTTACACTGCTAAAAAAGTGCTAGTGCTGTCATACAATATCAATGTCAATTCAATTCAAGAAGACATTTATTCCACACTCCTTTAGAGAATACATCCATAAATAAAAGAAAGACTGGTAGCCTAAATAGCAAAATAACAAAATCAATAAATTTGTCTCAAAAATAAAAGTAAAATGCGCTTTGAAGAAATGATAAACATATTTCAGTAAATGTAGGAAGAGAAAAGCAAGTAAGCCGAGGCTTGTAAGAAACAGCCTCTACAGACAACAATAACAACAGAAAAAACAACATGATAACGACACACGGACGAGACGACTTACACGACGATAGCTAACGGCAAAAAGAAAAAAAACAAAGCAGTTTTTTTATTCAAAAACTGATGACGACTTCAAACGTGAATAAACATGGAGAGAAATAAAGAGAGAAATAAAGGAGAGATATAAAGGAGAGAAATAAGAGATCTTAAATCGACCCACGGATGACTCCGGTTAATGGACTGTGGTTCACCCTCCTAAGTAAGGACGGACAGAGCACACGAAATGTCGAGTTATACAAGGTTTTTTTCAAAACCACACTTCTTCCTAGCCCCACTAGTGTGGCCGTCGGTATGCTGCGCTGAACCCAAGGCCACACACCGTGGTCCGCGCACTACTGAGGACGTTTTCATAAAATTTGCAGGGAATTTCTTACATATGGTTGTATTCTACGATGTCCCAACTATCACTTCTGGGATGCTTGGGTGTAATGATGTTCAATTTTCCGAGATATTCTTGAATCTTTCTGGAGCCCATATGCACTCGTGAAACGTCCGGTGATGGCAGCCATTTTGAATGTGACAAGAGATGACCTCAAGCTGTGACGTCGCGTTTATGCAAATTGCTTGTCGAGCGAGGGCGTGAGTTGCAAATGCAACGGCTGTTTCCTGTGCCGTAGATCCTGAATAGAGATCAGTGCACGTGGCCCCCAGACGATAAATGCATGGTACAGGAAACAGCCGTCGCATTTGCAACTCGCGCCCTCGCTCGACAAGCAATTTGCATAAATGCGACGTCACAGCTTGAGGTCATCTCTTGTCACATTCAAAATGGCTGCCATCACCGGACGTTTCACGAGTGCATATGGGCTCCAGAAAGATTCAAGAATATCTCGGAAAATTGAACATCATTACACCTAAGCATCCCAGAAGTGATAGATGGGATATCGTAGAATACAACCATATGTAAGAAATTCCCTGCAAATTTTATGAAAACGTCCTCAGTAGTGCGCAGACCACGGTGTGTGGCCTTAGGTTCAGCGCAGCATACCGACGGCCACACTAGTGGGGCTAACTTCTTCCAAGAAGAGATTTCTTTCCACATGGTGTTACCCCCCAAAAAAAATTCTCTAAAGAATTCCATAGGCCTACTTGGCCACCACTCATCAAGCTCATGTTCCTTAACCCTAACAGCCCATAACCAATCAAACTCCAACAGTAGGTTAGTGTTTAAATCTGTTGGGATAGGTACAGTACCCCTAAACAGATGGTCTTTTACACTGGGGTTGGCATACCTCCAGAAACTAAGTCCAACAGTGTGTGTGTACAATTTCCCATGTGGGTGTTGGAATTTGCCTGAATGGGTATGGCTCCTAGTAAATTAGGCTGGGGAGTTAGGGTTAATTCATATATGACCTGAAAAGTACCAAAAATTGTAAATCTTATGAAGAAGCACTATTTAAACTCACTAAAGGGGCACTCGGCTTGGGTCCTAAAATCCCCGAAAATTTCATGTTTTGGATTGTTTACTTAAATCCCATTTCAAACATCTGGTTGAATGGAAACCAGCCGGGGGAAAAACTGCTTGTTTACAATTACATCGGACATGTCGCAGTACAATTACGTTTTTCCTGTCGTTCAATATGTACGATATACACGTCGTGTGTGTGTGTCTAGTATTATAACGTACGTATACAGCACTGTGCTCGCGAACAGCGGTGACCAATCACTAATACATAAAGTGTGGTTTCTTACACATCCGCAAAAGGCGAACACTTTACAGATGAAATCACAACTAGCACCCAAACAGCTCAACTTTTGGGGTCGCAAAAAGTGGACCCCAAAAGTCGTTCTCAGACGCATAATACCTGAATAACACAAAAATGCCCAGTTTTTAAAGGATAGTTGTGTGGATGTTTATATCCTACTTAAAATTTCTTTCCAATGAGCATCATTTCGTTCAAAGCGCGTTTCATAGCCCAATTGGGCTGTTCCAAGATGCAGTGTCCCTTTAAGGAGTGTAAAAATCCTTTTTGTAATACTTAAACTTTTTCTGTTATAGCCCATAGACTTCGTGCAGGAGGTCCGAGTGGTGGCCGCTTATGGAATTCTTTCCATTGAATCTTGGACTGAGAAACATTTCCAATTTTGTTAGGAAATACTTAAAAATGTTCTTGACTCTCCATAGACTTGTACACAACCGCTGAAGTGGCGTCAGGTTGCAACATTCTTTCCAAAAGGGGCATCAGGATGCAACATTCTTTCCTTATCATGTTTATCATGTCTATGTTTAGAATATTTGGATAAAATCATCATTATTGGTCAATAGTCCAGACTTAGTGTGTGAACAATTATAGGCCGAGTAAAAATTCTTTAGAAAAATATCTCGTCTGATTTTATTTTTTAAATAAAGGAGATGATGACACCATTTTTTTCCCCCAAGATGGATGATTTTCCAAGATAGCGATGAAGTCTTCCATTTTCTTGACTCTTCTGCTGATGCAAAATAGTGTCCAAAGGAGACGTCAACCTTTCTGCACAGCTACAATTTTGTTGGAAACAAATAAGACATTTTTTTTCTAATTTCACGGTCTGGTAACAAGACTTCTTGTTTCTTCTTCCGCCAACTAGGGTGTATCGATTGCATGAAGTGCCACGGTCAGGAATGCCCGCTCCAGCAACAAGGCACCAGACCGGTCGTCATCACCGACACACCAACCATCTCCCGTGCCCTCGCATCCCTCCCAGGAATCTTAAATCTGTGCACCGTTGGCAACAAGAGACAGGTCTTGGCTAACAAGAAGATCGCTCGCAAGACGGTGTTTGGCCCGCTGGAGGCCCCGGAGGTTAGCAGTGATGGCGAGGACGACGGCTTTGTCCTGAAGGTAAGCGGGAATCCAATCAGCCTGTGATATGGGATGTATGTTATTCTTGGTTTGTTTTGAACTCAATCTTTCTGAATCATGACTCTGAAGGATTATTTGCTAAATTCCTAAAGTAAAGTCCGAGAACCATTCTGTTGACAACTGACCCATGCACAATGGTCAACTCACGTAAAAATAGCAACGGCTATCTATAGAGGGGTCCTAAAAGTAACTACTGCTGGTTTTGCGACAGTGAACAAGCTTGTCCTGTAGGTGAACTGAATTCAATCTAAACCTGATTATCCCATTTATCTTCAAGCAAACTTGAATCCTCGATCCTGACTGGTCGATCCATGGCAACAACAGTGTGATATGAGGCTGTATTGCATGGTCGATATCGCACCCTGCGTATTGCGCTATTCCAAGTGTGAGCGACATTCCAGCTGCATGCGCTAAACCGCTAAAAGGTTCGTGTAAAGCAATGGTCCAACTTTACGCGTCAAGTTTGCTTGAAGATTAATTCGTTATCATGCTCGCGCTCGTGGAACACAGAAAATGTAGTGCGTCTGTGTCCCACATACCACTCGTCCTTCGGCCTCGTGGTATGTGGGACACAGACGCACTACATTATTCCGTGTTCCACTCGCTCTCGCGGGATAACTAATAAAGTTCCTATACATGTACTGCCAAAAAGCACCCTGACAGTTACTCTCTGCACTATAACTTTATGGATTCATACAAAGGACATGTAATACAATGTAATACTTTTACTATGTAGTACAGGTGTTAACAGGTTAAGTGTACAGCAGCCGATTTCACGTAACAGTACGTAACTTGCGCCATGCGTAGGACTGATGCAACAAATACATGTAAGCACATACATAAGCACTATGAAACTGTCATGAAATTGTCTTAACTGAAATGTGCAACTTACGCAATAAGTTGCGGCCCAAGTGGACTTACATACGCATGCCTTTGTGTAAACTTATGTGAAATTTGCTGCAGGACATTTTTCTAAAGAAAATTTTTTTATATTGTTCTGATTCCAAGGTTTTCAAGAAAGATGGAGTACTTGTCAAGCTGGACACTTCCGACGAGCAGCGCTGCAATTGGATGACCCTTGTTACCAAGGCAACCACAGCAGCCAATCAGAATCTGATCGTGTATCAGTACCAGGGTGCCTTGTATTTCACAGTCACCAGGGATATACCGATTGGAGAGGCGTTGCATGTCTGGTACGCCCCCAACTATGCTGAAAAGTTAGGAAAATCACTGCTACAAGGTGAGTAATGTGGCTTTCCGTAATATGAACATGTGCACGTTAGGCCATGGCACGTTCAGTTTCTGGTATGGAGCTTGCCCCAAAAGTGGTGCGGCGACACGGATTTTTTTTTTTTTTTCCTTTTTTTTTCTTCAAATGTCGGCTGATGACTGCAAATGCTGCCCGACTTAATTTAGTGCAAATATATGGGAGTCCAGAGAGGCCACATAAGCTTATAACCCCATCTAAAAACACGTTAACATTGTGCAGCAGCAGGATTCCAGTCAAACCAGTGAGTTTGGCACTTTTGAGACATCATCTTACATTGAAAAAAAAACTTTTTCATTTTGCCGACGCGCACGGCTACGGCGACGCGCGCATACCAGAAACCGGAGACTTTCTTTTTTTGGCCTTATCCCTAACCCTGCCAGACGCAACACAGTGCATCAGATGGAAAAGTCTGGTGCTCTTTGATGCATTCAGCTACCAACACCAGTGCTTAAACGGCCGCTTCTGAGACAATGAGAGCTAGTTCCTCTGAACAATGCCCCAGTTGTATCCTGCTGCGTTCAGGGACCACAGGCTCTGAGGCAGTTTGGCCTCGAGATTTTCGACCTGATGGGTCTTGCTGCACTGGGCAGGCTTGTCATTTAGACGAGTGTTGCATGTTGCTGTGTTTGTCAGGGTTCTTATCAAAATACTCTGGAGGTATTTTGCCCTTCATATATAAAAAAAAAAAAGGTTAGATTATGTCACCCCGATGCAAAATTCCATCTTAAAATAGTTTATGCGGTACCCGCTGCTATGTACATCAGATTTGATCCAGCCAACCGATCCCATTAGTTCGGTGGTCGAGTGGTAAGATATCTGCACTAGAAAGCAGGAGGTCCAGCACCCGATTTCATCAAACTCTTCGTAACTTACGATGCATCGCAGCGCTGCGACGCGTCGTATCTCTACGATGCGTCGCAGCTGCGACTCGTCCTGCGATCCATTTCACTGAACACGTCGTAAGTGCGACGCGTCGTAGGTGTCTTTATAGCACAACTCGGTGACTGTTTTATGTCTTTAGTCAGCGTACAGTAAATATTCATCTGATATTCAACAAAGAGTCGTCGGATCTCAGCTCAAATTTGCTAAAACGTAAACCAAATGGCGGCCGTGCGATGCAATTTTGAAGGAAAACAAGCTCTCATTGGACTGTTTAGCTACTTTGAAATTTCAACTCTAATATTCCGGTCTAATTCATAATTATTCAATGAATTTTCTATTTACAACTTTACACACATTGCCTCGGTATTATAATCTCGTTAATGTAATGTTTGTGGCATAAAACTGGCTTAGAAATGACTCTTCTTATTTTGGGATGACCACTAGACACGTCGTACATTTGTAACTTGCGACGTGTTTTAAGCCGTTGTCAAGGAACTTACGACGCGTTCAACACATCGCAACTTTAGTGAAATGGAAGATACGACGCGTCGCGAGTTGCGACGTGTTACACGTCGTAACTTGAGTTGCGAACGCGTCGCAGCGCTTCGTGAAATCGGGTGCTGGGTTCGAGTCCCACCCGAGTGATTTTTTTCCAACTTTCACTCGGGAGGTAATACACTGATTATACAGTGTTTAAACGTCGGTGCAGGGCAAAACCTAATTTGATATGCAGGGGAATACTTGAGAACAAGATGGGTACAACTCTGCCCAAACTTGTGCGCATGAGAATGTTTGAAAGTTCTAAGTAGTTTAGGTTACTTTATGCTATGCTGTCATCAACTGAATATGCATAGAGCTTTTTGCTGGTTTGAATATTCGAAAGATTAAAAACTGCGCATTGTACACACACAACTGTTCTTTTAATTTAATCGTAAACTTGCTGCGCTTTATTGCCAGATGCCACTTTTTGTTGAGGGTAACTTTTTGGTTGACAGCTGTTCATTCCACTCCTTTTAGCAGGTTAAAGCCATTGATAGCTATGAAATACTTACTGCAATAACAGTCCTGCGGCACATTACATTGATTTTCACGCGAAAATTTGTGATAGGTGCGGCACGCAGTTACAGGCGGTACTTATGAATATTCGAATATCCCGTAAAATGCAGTTTTGAATAATTGAATACAAAATTATTTTAAAAAAAACAGCCTTAGTATTTGTTTGTTTGGGGTTTTTTTATGCAAATTTAGCCCATTGAGTTTCGTAATAAATAAGTAATAAATGAAAGTAAAATAAAATTACAAAAAAGTTTATTAAGTGATGCTGTAGTAAATGACCATTTATAAGTTAAAACATTTTATATAAAGGACACTCTTCTCAAACTTGCTTGCAGCAGTAAATTCAAGTGTTTTGCAATGGAGATGGTCCCACCCGAGTGATTTTTTTCCAACTTTCACTCGGGAGGTAATACACTGATTATACAGTGTTTAAACGTCGGTGCAGGGCAAAACCTAATTTGATATGCAGGGGAATACTTGAGAACAAGATGGGTACAACTCTGCCCAAACTTGTGCGCATGAGAATGTTTGAAAGTTCTAAGTAGTTTAGGTTACTTTATGCTATGCTGTCATCAACTGAATATGCATAGAGCTTTTTGCTGGTTTGAATATTCGAAAGATTAAAAACTGCGCATTGTACACACACAACTGTTCTTTTAATTTAATCGTAAACTTGCTGCGCTTTATTGCCAGATGCCACTTTTTGTTGAGGGTAACTTTTTGGTTGACAGCTGTTCATTCCACTCCTTTTAGCAGGTTAAAGCCATTGATAGCTATGAAATACTTACTGCAATAACAGTCCTGCGGCACATTACATTGATTTTCACGCGAAAATTTGTGATAGGTGCGGCACGCAGTTACAGGCGGTACTTATGAATATTCGAATATCCCGTAAAATGCAGTTTTGAATAATTGAATACAAAATTATTTTAAAAAAAACAGCCTTAGTATTTGTTTGTTTGGGGTTTTTTTATGCAAATTTAGCCCATTGAGTTTCGTAATAAATAAGTAATAAATGAAAGTAAAATAAAATTACAAAAAAGTTTATTAAGTGATGCTGTAGTAAATGACCATTTATAAGTTAAAACATTTTATATAAAGGACACTCTTCTCAAACTTGCTTGCAGCAGTAAATTCAAGTGTTTTGCAATGGAGATGGTATAAACGAAAAGATAGATCTTAGACTGTGTTGCAGGCCTAGTATTGTAAAGATGGTTACAATGTTGAATGCAGGAAACAATACGGCCTATTTTGTATATCTCAATGCAAAGTTTCCTAACACATTGTTTTAAGGGAATATACATCATTTGCTTTTACTGTAATTTTCAGAAATGGATGGAATTGGGGGGTTGGAAATATATAGAAAATATAGTTACACTGACTTTTTTGAGGTTTTGGGTTCGAAAATGCTATAAAAACCAAGAAAAACAATCATTTTCCTGTAGTCTGGTTCCCTGACTCCATATAAGAAGAAACAGAGCAGTTTACATACATTGGGGAATTGTAAGGTCAGGGAACCAGTCTAGCTGGCTCGTACCCGTTCATAGGTTTGTAATCGATTGCAAACAAGTGCGATGGTCAATTGGGGCCAGTATTTGAAAAAACGCTGATCGGCCGATCAGCGTTGGAAATTGATACAAAAATACCACTTTTCTTGAAAATGACAGTATACCAGGTGCCATGATTTTACAGGATGCTTTACACTGTCATTCACTAACAGTCCAGCAAGGTATTTCAAAATGATTTGGTAGTTTTATTTTTTGATGTTTGCAAATGTTGTATTTTCCCTTTAAATGACATGCCTTTTTCCCCTTTTCAATTTGACCAAAAATGACAACCAGGGCTAATGAAAGTTAATTTCCTTCACCTGAATTATACATGTCTTGGTCTCACACATCCAGATACATCAACAACTGCGGATGTGACGAACCCTTCTACTGAAACGAGCCCTTCTACCGAGACGTCAGTGCCAGAGGCATCACATGCCGTCACCTCAGAAAGCGGTCCAGCGGAACACCACAAAGATCCTGATGTCATCACCAGTTCCGAATCGGCTGATCCTGCATCCAGTGCATCCACATCGATGACCGGAGCAGTGATAGTATCTGTAACACTGGAGAAGAAGTCTGGCGCATCAAGTAGTTCAACACCCCAGAAACCCCAACGCAGGATGGCTACTCGATCAACAACTAGGAAAGATCCTTCCACTGCTAAAGAGTCGGCTAGGAGCACTACCTCTAGGTCTAAGTCTGGGAAGCGAGGTTCATCAGCCATAGAAGAAGCTGCACAGGAAGACGTTGATGAAGAAACCACAGCGGATTCATCCTCAGTTGGTGAACAAGCAATCCCATCTGCGCTTCATGTAACAAAAGTCGGAGCCAACAAGCGGATTTACGTGGTCAGGGGATCAGGAAATATGAGAGGTAGAGGAAAGATGGGCATGACTGGTAGAGCAAGACCCCAGCCCAGTGAGCCTGACGAAGACGACACATGCGACGACCCACCGTCTGCTAAAGCATTTCAGTTGTGGAAGAAGAGGCTTGGAAAGTACTATCAACTGGTACCCAAGCGCAAACCGGAAGTGAGACGCGCACAAGCGTCTAAGCGAGTCAAACACAGCATAGTTGCCAAACCTCCCAAGAGAGACCGGAAGAATTCCCATCTTTCTGAAGCAGAGTATAAGCGGATTGAAGAGCGCATCTGGGATCAGGCTCAGCGATCCTGCTGCGATTGCTCCTTGGTGTTTGATGATGCTGACAAGCTGATGGAGCACGTCCGGACTGAGCATCAACAGGAACCCATCCTGTGTTCAGACTGTAAGAAGGTATGTCTCACTGACGAGCAGCTCTCTGAGCATATCGCTGTCATCCACCCAGGACCCCAGGACGTGGACGCCGACAAGGACCCCTCCAAGTACAGATGCCCCCTGTGTGACAAGAAGCTCCTCCATCTCCGCACCTTCCGCAACCACCTGGAGTTCTTCCACGGCAAGACGTTCAGCTGTCCCACCTGCGGGGGGACGTTCTGGAACCGCTCCAAGTACCTACAACACATCGGGGAACACAAGCTGCAGGGGGAAGAGGTGGAAGCTTCAGATATGTACACCTGCGATAAATGCAACCGGGAATTCACCTGTCTGTCTGGGTTGAGCATCCACAAGGCTTTCGCTCACAAGGAGAAGTCTTTCTCCTGCAAATACTGCACGTATACCACAAGGTACGAGCTCACTCTCCAGGAACATATCCTGTTCAGCCACCCCGAGATAGATCTCGGCATCCCCGAGTCTCAGAAGCTGGCCTGCGAGATCTGCTACGCCGTCTTCCTGCGCAACAGAACCCTCAAGCACCACATGCTGAACCACAAGAAGCGCGAGTTCAAGTGTAACAAGTGCGACACTGTCTACCGCCGCAAGGAAAACCTGGACCGGCATAACTGTCTGACAGCGCGTCGACGCACTGTCACCATCGACATGATCGAGACCGAGAACCAGTCCTCGAGCTCCTGCGATATGTTTGAGTGTCAGCGATGCAAGAAGCTGTTTGCCACCTACGCCGCTATGAAGCACCATGCCCAGACCCACCAGGACATTCACTACACCTGCAGCGTCTGCAACAAGGAGTTCCATAAAAGGTTCAATTTTGACAGCCACAAGTACCAGCATCTTCGCGTTGCTACTAAGGAAGACGGTAGCAGGGAATTGATTCAGGTGACGGTGGGACCGGTCAACAAGCACGCCTGCCACCTGTGCGATTGTCACTTCACCAAGATGAGTCCGCTCATTCAGCATCTTGAGGTAAGCTTATACATTTGTAAACTATTGAACTAGTATACAAATATTGAATGCTTCGAGTGGTGTAGTAAAACCAGCCTCCCGAGGTGATCCATGGACCATTCTATTTTCCCGAGGCGAAGCCGAGGGAAAATAGAATGGTCCATGGATCACCGAGGGAGGCTAGTTTTACTTCACCACAAGATAAAGCATTCAATATTTGTTTTATGACACTTCACTCACAGATTCTGCTTGATTTTAATATTTTAAATTATTTAAAAATAAACACAGTTGAAATAAACTTCAATTTCAATACAAAATTGGTGGAAAATGTATTTCTCTCTTAAAAACTACCCCTTCACGAAATGTTTGAACCCAAGTCTGCGGCGCACTCTCTTTGGAATAATACGCGCAACGTGCAACGCGCACACCAGCATGCATTTGCACACAAATACCGCGCCGTGGAAATAATACTTTGGTTGCTAATGGAATAGTACTTTGGTTGCTATGCGCATAGTACTTTTGGCCGTGCACAGAAAGATAGCAAAATTAGAAAGTAACATGTGACTCGCTCTCGGCCAATCAAGTCACAGAATCTGTGGGTGAGGTGTTATAACAAAAAATACATCCTATGAATAGTCAAGGCAGTACCCGCTGCTATGTACATTGGATTCAAACCAACCAACCGATCCCGCATGCTCGGTGGTCAAGTGATAAGACGTCTGCACTAGAAAATAGGAGTTCATGGGTTCGAGTCCCACTCGAGTTTTTTTTACCAACTTGCACTCATTAGGTAACACACTTAACTATACAATTGGTTAAGGGCAAAACCTCATATTGATTTACATCACCCCAACGCAAAAGTTCCATCCTGTGAAACTTGTGATTGATTGCCATATTAGATTCTTACAGCCAGCCGACCAGGCTAGCTTAGTGGTCGAGTGGTAAGATGTCTGCACTAGTAAGCAGGAGGTCATGGGTTCGAGTCCCGCCCAAGTAAGCTTATGGTTTTTGCTCACAAGCTTATGAAATTACAATCAGTGAAGGACCAAATCCAGTACTACATTGTATTTGTAAACCAACAAATTGAAAGGATTTCATTTAATCAGTCTGGACTACCCTGCTAAATCCAACAGAGTCCAACCGGACTTTCCTGTTTAATCCACCTGTGCCTCATTTTCAGTTGTCTGCTGAATCCAACGGAGTCCAATATAGGGTTATAATGCGGTTCAGTTGCCTACTGAATCCAACATTTTGCATCAGGAATGTACACAAGGGGTTAACTGCTCAATCCAACAGGCTCCATCGGGTATTTGACATAGTTGGATCCTGTTGGCTTCAGCAGGGTTAGGGTTGACCATGCCTTGCTGTTGAGAATAAGCTTGTTCAGGAGGACCAGAGTCTTTGCTCCTAGAGCACAAGTCAAATAGAGACTGGAATTCAAATCCACACTTAGCCTGGGGTGAGATTTCAACCAAGTTACAAAAGTAACTTTAAAAGGTGACATATCCTCAATTTGAACACTTACATTGTACCTTTTTGTGATCCGTGGACAGAACGGTGGTTGTGTTTAAAATTCCATAACTTGAAAATTACATGAGTGATTTGAATGATTCTTGTACTAAAAGAAAGCTTATGAATTGGGCTTTCATATCCTAGATTTTGAAAGAGCTACATGCAGAACTTCACTAATACAATGGTCCCGACATTTGGGTTTCATTTTTTTTTACTCACCATCTAGTTCAACACAGTTTAAGAATATAATACAGTGAATATAGTGAAAAATGTAGTTCAGAAACAGCTGTCATACATGTACTCTGTATTTCTATAGGTTTTCATATTAACCCTTACCCTACTTGACCCTCCAACGCATGCCAATATGTGCCTCAAGAAAATCTCCTATGTTTTTTGCATGGCCCTCCAATATCTGCCATGTCATTTCAAGGGTAACTGGACAGGCACTCCAATACATGCCACAGAGAACAATGAGAGTCCTCTGATAACAAAGTGAGTGCCCCCAGCTGGTCAGTATCAGGCACCCTCCAGGGCCTCCAACTCCTGCCAATTGGAGCCTTCACTGTCAAGATAGTTTATCTGCCAATATACTGCAGCTGGAGGGCATTGGCATAACCAACTGATATGCAGTAAACTACCCTCAGAGAGTAAGGGTTAAACCGGGCAAGTCTTTCACTTTTTTTTCCAAATGGATATTGCATTTTGGAACTAAACTCTTCATATGTTCCTGAAATCCAAATACAATGTTTGCCTTGGTTTGGATTTGTATCCCGACCACAGAAGTCAATTAACTCTCCATCTAAACTTGTGTAACTCTCCTAATGAATCCCCTTCACTTTCGCTCTCATTCATCTCCTTAGACCCACCACAAATCAGCCGCCCCTGAGGTCCACTCCTGCGTCCCCTGCCAGCGGCTGTTCCTAAGCAAGGAGGAGCTCTCGGCCCACGAGGCCAAACACACCCGCATCACCCTCCCACAGGGCGTGGCCCTAGACACCCTCCACAGCTGTCTGATCTGCGGGCGTGTCTTTAAGGCCTTAGGCGGGCTGGAGAAACACATGAGTCTTCATACCGGCAGTAAGAACCACGTATGTGAAGATTGCGGCAAGACGTTCCGTCGGGCCGACCAGTTGAAGTCGCACCGGCTGGCGCGGCACGATAAAAACAGCAAGTTGTACAAATGCAATGTGAGTATTTGAAGAGCTAGCTTCACTTGGTATTTTCTTAAGAAGCAGCCGTTGCTATAACACGCCGGTTCAGTGCGTGACATCACGTAGCTGCAATCGGCTGAATGAGAACATGTCCCGGTCGCTGATTTCAGGCGCAATTCAAAACATGACTCAGAAACTCTGAATTATGATAACTCAAAAACTTTGAATTGAAGTCCAGATCCAAGAATGTTGTTTTCTCGAAATATACAGCATTCACTGAGTTAAAATGTCATCAGGTTAGTTGTTGAGCACCCTTCTTTAGATTTTGAGCACTGTTGTTGCTTCAAAAAAAAATGCACAAAATTAATGACAAATGATGGACTATACATTTAAGTAAGTCCTGGTCATGTTTCAGTGCTTGATGTATTTTGTGGACAGATTTGCCCTCAACGTTGAAAAGCAGAGATGTAGGAGGAAATTCATTTCCCCCTGAATTGTATGCAGATTGCAGAATGAAAATACAGTAAAATTCTGCTGTAACAAAAACAGCTACAACGTACACTTGGCTATAACAAACTTCCTTTTTGGCCCCAAAAATATTAAATTCTATACAACGCCTGAATAAATCCCCTTCTTCTGATTCGTTGGTCGTTAATCCCATGTTATTGAATTAGTTGTCCCAAGGCATGGCGGCACTGCAAAACTAAAGGCGGCAACGCAGATTGTCCGAGCCTGAAGGGAGCCAGGATTTTGCCAGTTAGTCACCCACTGAAAATTGAAGGGGGGGGGGGGTGTTGTGGGCGATGCTGTTCAGAGCATGTATGTTATTGGACACCGTTGAACAATAGGTGATGCTCTTCATTTCTGTAAGTGAAAATTGTTCCCTTTTCCAAATAGATTGGGGGGATGGCACCACGCCCCCTAAATACACCACCGGCCCTCACCAACTATGTATAACCTTCACTTGCCTTTCTTAGATTTGCAACAAATCCTTCAAGTCCAACTGCCTTCGTCTGCACATTCAGTGGCATGCCGGCCAGCGTGACTATCAGTGTCCGCACTGCAATCGTACCTTCACTCAGCGGGGGAACTTCAACAGACATGTCATCTTGCACACCAAAAAGGTAAGGTCTGCTTCAATTCAACCTGCGCTTTGCTTGCGGCGTGACGGAACTAGCCTTGGTGGGGGCTTTCATGCTTTGTACAGTGCATAGCGGCGGCTTGTTTGTGTTTTTAGCGGTCACACACCATCACGGACACTATCAACCAACGCCTTCACCAAGGCTAGTTCCGTCGCGGCGCAGGCAAATTGTAGGCTGGCCTAAGAGACGTTTGTGATGTAGTCCCACGGCACTATGTGATTGACCAGTATATTGACATGTGATGACCTGTAGTGACTAGTGAGGACTTTCAGTGAATTGTGAGGACTTGTAGGTACTACAAAATTTTGGACTCTAGATGCTCTGTGATGCAATCTGAGGCGATTCCCTGCCACTTTCCCCTGATTTTTTTTAGCAGAAGTGTTTAAAATTATAAGAAATTTTGTTTTATTTGTTTCAATGATTAATACTCTTGCTCCTGTAAAGTTTCTTCTGTTTTCAAATTTTAGATTACGTTTACAATGTATAAGGTGTTCCAAGATCGATGCTTTCTGATGTTTAACCATTTTTAGTAGTTCCTCAATGTTTTATAAAAAATTGGGACTTACTTTGTCAATATTAAGTGTGAGAACAAATCGCATGAACATTTCATATTTCAAGAAGCCTTGTGTTGTGTAGCGCTGCCGTAGTAGCAGTAGTTCCGATTTTAAATTTGTAAATAAAACCATCCGATCGGCAGGGAGAGAAATTGTAAAACCATGGAGGTCTCGGACATAAAAAGTCATCGGCGATTGCAATTTCAATATGCTACAACACAATGTGAAGGAGAAATCTCATTTTTGTTATGTTAAAAAATATAATTGTAGATAATGACGATGAGAAATAATCACCGGGAATTGCTTCCTATCCCGCCCCGGCCGGCCCCGGCCGGCCCGGCGTGCAGGCGCGGCGCGGGCCAGCCCACACCGGCTACGCCGGCGAACTACGCGACCAAATTCCCCTCAGCATTTGAGAAAGCTACGCATTCGTGGAGCGCTAAAAAACTTGTTTTGTTGCAATACTTGCTGATTGGTTTTGTCCTAAGAACAAACAGATCCGTTTTTACTACCAAACTTATTGAACTGTTATTATCAGCAACGAGTAGTGTAGTCAAAAATCCAAATTTTCGACAGCGTCATTCTTCGAGAAGAATTCTTCACGTGCGGCCATCTTTTGGGGACGGATCCATTGATATCGTAGGGGTGCTTAACCTTTCTTTGGACATCGTTTCTCGAATAAATCCTTTACGAAAATTATGTTCCGACGTTGAAGGACTTATTTTCAAACAGTTATATGTTTCGGACTTGATAAAAAGTATTATTTATAATTTTAAAACAGTTGAAATGCTTGTAAATATTGACCTTAGGAAAGCACACCCGATAGCGCAAAATGGTGTGGTCCACGTACGTCCGTACGGAGCGCTGTATCTACATAGCACAAAACAGCACGTGCTTATTGCTATCATAGCGAATGCGTGTGGCGCAGCATCATGGTAGGGGTATCGTACGGGGTACGTGCGGTGGGATTGTTGTTTATTTTTCGCTGTGTCGTATGGCCAGTGCGCAATGCTCAAAGTCGCTGCGCTTGTATACGAACAAACGGCAGATTTTTTTTTTTCGCAACCAAAATTTATAGCGTAGCGGCGCGATTTAAGCGTAGCGCTTATTTCCGAAAGCGTAGCGGGTGCTAGCGCTATTTGATGCCTGGCTAGAACACTGGTCGTGTCACTATATGTGGAATGTAAAAAGCTGTAGCCTAAATATTTTTTATATAAAAAGAGTGCAGATAACACATAATTGTTTTTGTAATAAAAGAGTAATATACCAGAGTTGTTACTCAACATCTTTCCACGGTTGAAATTGTACTCGTAGAAAGAGATAAAGTGTGAAACCTGCGACCGAACCTTCAAGCATGAGGAGTATCTAGAGCGCCACCAGCTGGTCCACAAGAACTACGAGTTCGCCTGCCCCACCTGCAACGGAAAGTTCTCCACCCAGCATTTCCTGGACAACCACATCCGCAAGGTGAGTCCGACAATTTGGTTAATTTTGCCCAAAATAGGCCTGAAGTCCCCTTCAATGGAGAAACGGACAAATATGGCGGCCGGACAGCGGAAAACTCAATTGGACCCAAAAATCAATTTATTTGAAGGCCATGGAGGAAGACTCGGTCTGAAAAGGGCATTTTGGCAGTGGCACTAAGGGCCTCACGTGAGACTCTTAATGCCCCACGTTTGAGCGTTTGATTAGCCCGGCTCTCGTGGCTAACCCATCTGCCTTTACCCGAGTCGATCTGGGTGAGCTACTCGAACGCACCCTCAGTTATCAGCTCAGACTGGGTTTGAACAAATTTCATGGCGCCGCTTATCAGAAACTATTGCTGCAAATTAATGTTCTAAGCGAAAATGCGCTGAGGACCAGTCACAGACAATATGTGTCACATGATATTTGACTGGTAACCTGCTTTCGCTTAGCAATTATTTTCTGCGTTCAAAAGCAAAATTCTATTCTAAGCAAATTGAATTGCCATTATGGATTTACCACATTATGCTTACCACTTTTGGATTTTAGGTCCATGACGCAGCGGAGTCGTGTTCGTGCGAATACTGCGGGACGAAATTCAAGTACACCCAGTCCTATCGTAATCACATGCATCGCAAGCACCCTGATGTTCAACGCAGCAGCTACCAGCCGGTTGCAGAGTACCCGGCAGGGATAACCAATTTGGAGGTACTCGTCACGTCGCTGATTTCAACAGACAACCAAGAAACGGAAGAAACATAGCTTGTGTCCTTATGGTGGATACTTTACTGCAATTTAACCCTCCTGCTGTCGCGTAATCACCCTGACGTCCAACGCAGCAGCTACCAGCTGGTCGCAGAGTACCCGGCCGGGATAACAAACTTGGAGGTACTCGTCACATCGCTGATTTCAACGGACAACCAAGATACGGAAGAAACATAGCTTGTGTCCTTATGGTGGATACTTTACTGCAATTAAACCCTCCTGCTGTAGCGTAATCACCCTGACGTCCAACGCAGCAGCTACCAGCCGGTCGCAGAGTACCTGGCAGGGATAACCAACTTGGAGGTACTCGTCACGTCGCTGATTTCAACAGACAACCAAGAAACGGAAGAAACATAGCTTGTGTCCTTGCGGTGGATACTTTACTGCAATATAACCCTCCTGCTGTAGCGTAATCACCCCGACGTCCAACGCAGCAGCTACCAGCGGGTCGCAGAGTACCCGGCAGGGATAACCAACTTGGAGGTACTCGTCACGTCGCTGATTTCAACAGACAAACAAGAAACGGAAGAAACATAGCTTATGTCCTTGTGGTGGATACTTTACTGCAATATAACCCTCCTGCTGTAGCGTAATCACCCTGACGTCCAACGCAGCAGCTACCAGCCGGTCGCAGAGTACCCGGCAGGGATAACCAACTTGGAGGTACTCATCACGTCGCTGATTTCACCGGACAACCAAGAAACGGAAGAAACATAGCTTGTGTCCTTGTGGTGGATACTTTACTGCAATTTAACCCTCCTGCTGTAGCGTAATCAACCTGACGTCCAACGCAGCAGCTACCAGCCGGTCGCAGAGTACCTGGGAGGGATAACCAACTTCAAGATACTCGTCACGTCGCTGATTTCAACGGACAACCAAGAAAACTTGTGTCCTTGTGGTGGATACTTTACTGCTATATAACCTTCCTGCTGTAGCGTAATCACATGCGTTGCAGTTACCCTGAGGTTTAACGCAGCTCTACTGGCCCATCACAGATTTTGTAATCACTGTCAATGTGTCGAGGCCGAGTCAGCGACATCTTGGAGCAGCGCAGAGGATTTCAGGTATAATCTATTGGCCTTAAGTTATGTACTACTGAGCATAAACAACACTAGGTCTGGCCCAAGACCTTGACACAGTGCATCCTCCAAAATCAGCCACACACACTTTTGCCATATAGCCTCAATCCTGCAAAATCGTTCATTTGCAAAGAGGATTCTGGAGGATTTTGGAAGGTAGGGTTAATGAATCAATCTACAGAGTCCTCCCAAAAAACCAACAGTTTATACCTTCTGTATGGCCTCTCAGAACCTTGCTATAAATAGCAAGTAGCTGGGCAATACGTGAGAGGTTTGCGGTAACACCATGTGGAAATATCTCTTTTGTGAGTATGTGTGGTTCTGAAGAGAACCTGTTGGGTTAACTCGATTTCGAACAGTATGCTCTGTTCGTCATCAGGAGACTGCCGGACTCTAGCTGGGAAGGTGGTTTAAAGGGACACTGGGTCCTGGAACAGCCCAATTGGGCTACAAAACGCGCTTTGAACTAGATGATGTTAATCGGAAAGAACATTTAAAAGTAGGATATAAACATCGACACAACTATCCTTTAAAAACTGGGCGTTTTTGTGTTATTCCTGTATTATGCGTGCAAAAACGAATTTCGGGGTCCACTTTTGCGACCCCATAAATTTGAGCTGTTTGGATGGTAGTTGTGATTTCATTTGTAAAAATGTTTGCCTTTTGTGGACGTTGAAGAAACCATATTTTTTGCATTGGTGATTGGTCACTGCTGATCCCGAGACACACAACCTGTATATCGTACACTGAGAACGACACTTACTCCATCGTGTCCGATGTAAACAACTGGGGGTTTTTTGTCTTTTCTCGGGAACAATAAGACATTAGGTTTGTTTCCATTCAACCAGATGTTTGAAATAGGCTGAGTAAACAATTCAAAACATGAAATTTTCGGGGATTTCAGGACCTAGTGCCCCTTTAAGTACTGCCAGGGTGCTGTGTGTTCGGTGAACCTTGCAGGTGGACAATTGTGACTGGGTGCTAAGTAGGATCCTAGATGCTGTGTGTTCAGTGAACCGTAGTAGCTGGGCCTTGCAGATAGAGGCGGCGGTAAGGTATAAAGTGCCAATGAAAAGTCTCGTGAATGAAACCATTCCATGCAGATTTTGACTTCAAAATGTGCATCGTTTTTACTCTTTGCTATGTTTGCTACACCCCATCTAGTCCATGAGTCCCAACTGAAGTTGTACATCTGAACCTTCCCAACTCAATTGTTTCAACTGGAACACAGAAAGTTAGGACACTCCCAGCTTAAGTTGGGGCCTTGGTCTATTTGGGGCGTAACATGTTCATACAGTTTCTGCACCTGTGAGTGCTGTTGGGGTGATGCCTATTAACTCTTTCAGTGCCCGCGAAATTTGAAAAGTTTAACCCTAAAGTGCCCAACTTCGAGCGTTTTTGTTAATTGTTCGAAATTCTGTAAAAAAAAAAAAGTAAATAAGTTTTACTCACTAAATTTGTTGTTGTTGCTCTCTGGTATATCCTTGATATATTGGAAAGTCAAAAGTAGTCACAAACATAGTGATACACCCTGAAACACTGACCTGAACACACTTTTTGCAGAAAATACGAGATTTTTTGCTGCGCCCTCTCGCAAGAACTCGAATGAAAAAATAAATACAGGTCGTACATGCATGAAAATGGTACCATTAGAAAGAGCGAGAGCGCCCCCTTTTGATAAACATATTTACTCTACCTCGTACATGTACGAGGTTTGGCAATTTTAAGTACGAACATTTACGAACATTACCTCGTACATGTACGAGGTTGGCGCTATTGGACTAACAAATATACCTCGTACATGTACGAGTTTGGCACTGAAAGAGTTAAGGCACTCACTGTTTCACTTTATAATTTAAGGGGCTGTCTGTATAAATTATAAATTAAACTTTGCTCATCATAGCCGTTGTACAGGTTTTTTTTAGTTAGGCCACACACAAAAATAGTCGGTCTCTGGTCAGACCGGTCGAGTTCCGGATTTGATGCGGCGATGCTTTTTTTTTTTCCAAGCTTGGATTGTACAGACACAATGGATATTATTTTGCTTTTTTGTGTCCTCATGTAGCTTGGTGCCCTACATCATTTGCCTTGGTGCCTTCCATCATAAGCCTTGGTGCCCTTCCCCATTCCTTGATGCTCCTTGGTACAAAAATTTGAGGCGGTGCGGCAATATATGGCGCTGTTGTAGCTACCGCGGAAAATTTGAAGAAAAAAAAAGAGATTGACGCTCACAGATCAAAATCGACGCACACTGACCAGAGGCCGACTTTTGGGGGAGGGGGGGGCCTTAGTTTGTTTTAATTTTGTTTTAGTTATAGCCTTTGTTTAAGTAACAGAAATCAAAGTTCTATCTGCAAAACGGCTGATGATAGTTTTAACCTGTGATGTGCATCACATGATCACAGTCATGTCACTAGTGTCATGAAATGGGTGTCAGACTCATTACGCCCTGCCCCATTATCTGAAAGTAGTCTGGTTCCCAAACCAAAAGATTAAAATTATTCTGACAAATCTTGGGTAACTTAGCCACCAAGGCCAAAAACAAACATGACAAAAATATGGGCAGTACCCTCCCTGCCCGTTTTTGAATTACGTAAAACATCCAAAGTTTAGTGAATGCATTTTATTGATCAGACGTTACGTGTGCAGAGCCACACTTATAACGTCTGATATATCCCAGCATGCATGTTTTATGCAACCCCACTCGCCAGCCAATTGGATTAGAGGTTGTGACGTCACTTAGAGCAGAAATTCAGCCAAAGCTGTCGATTGGTCAATAGCTGCCATGCTTTTCTCATACAACATGGAGTTACCGAATACATGAAAGAAGGCGCTTTCTGAATGGTCAGAATCTGGAGGCCAAGACGCAATGTTGTTTTGCATCATCTGCACGCATACATGCATCATAGACGTTATTCCATAGACTACATGTAGGCCTACCCGTGAATAGTCAGAATCATTTGGTCTGGGAACCAGACTCTATAAGAAAGGGCATTTCCTGTATGTCCCCAAGCAACAAACATGCCAGCAAGTTTGTGGTCTGTAAATTAAAATTGATTCTTTTTTTCCAGAACTGCTTTCAACCATGTAAATATATTTTTTTCACGGAGGTTTGACAAGAAATTTGTTGTAGTTGAGATTTCTTTTTCTTTTATTAACCTTGCTTTGCTACACTTAAGTAAGATTTGAGGCTTTGCATGGTGGAGATACTTAATAATGAAAGGTTTGCGGAAACACCATGTGCGAATAATTTCTCAACTAAGAGAATGGTTCCTATATTCTAGGTCCTCAGCTACCACCTTAGACTGATGGGTCTCCTATACCCTAGGTCCTCCCTCTACTGGCACTGCAACCCTACTGTTCCACTTCAGTGGGCACCAAGCTTGCTCTAGGATCCCGTCTACTTGGCATCCTCACAGGATGCAACTTCACACTTCATTGATTTCGCTTTTTGCTACTTAAGTATTCACTTTCTTAGAGTTTAGGCACTCTCCTGAAGACGGTCAGAGCATACTGACCAGAACGTCGAGTTTATACCTCTGGTTTTTTTCAGAACCATTCTCTTAGTTGAGAAATTATTCGCACATGGTGTTTCCACAAACCTTTCATTATTTATTTGCTACACTTTCCAAAACACTTCAATATTTGCAAATAATTTTGCCTGTAAAGTCAATGGCCTGTAAGAGGGCAAGGATTAATTAATGAACATGGTATTTTTTATTAGCAGTGTATGCACAAAGAATGTTTGAACACAACTTTCATTTTGTGATTTGTTTTCAATGAAATCACATGTAGCATTTTTAGTATGCGAAGGGAAATTAATTGGATTGTAAAATTAAGAGAAGTGTTTTGAGTGCAGGAGTGTTTGACTGTTCAGTTGAATTGAATTCAATTGATATTTGAATGAATTGTGAAACCTTCATATCAAGTTGTACTCTTTGGAATATATTTCATCCGTTTTAGGCCAAGTAAAAAAAAATTACCAGTTTCTCGTCTCTGCAACTTCCTTTCTTCCTGCCTCTATTTTTTTTTTTTAATTCATACATTTGCAATATAGTATATTTATAAATATATTGTCTTTTCATTTGTTTCTAACAAAATTGTAGCTATGTAGAAAGGTTTATACCTCCTTTGGACACAATTTTGCATTCAGCAAAAGATTCAAGAAAATGGAAGAATCAATCCGCCATCTTAAAAAAAAAAAATAGCTCCCGCCTCTCATTTTTTTCAAAAAGCCAAGACGAGAAACTGTTGTTTTTTTACTCAAGCTTCATTTTGAACTTTTTTCTGCAGTAGACATTATTACATGATCCTCATCCAAGAAAAAGTTGCAATCTCTAACTTCTTTGAATTTTCGTTGTTGACATGCTTTTTTATTTCAAAAACCTCAAACGAACACAAATTAACAACTGACCATGGCTAAAACTTTTTTGGCAATTTCTACGAAGCCCAAATGTGTCAACGATGGATGTACATGTAAGTTACATTTCAAAAATTGACAGGGAAGCAGTTTAAACAATGAAATATACAACGGATAAATGATAGCTTAGAAATTGATTCTTATCATTTTGGGTTTTTTGTGAACCACTGTCATCGCAATCATTTCTTTATTCCTTTGTCTTTGTTGAAATAATTTACTTTACTTTAATAATGAGCCATGTCCAAAAAATGTTCTATGGCTACGGTTCACCATGGCATGTAAGTGACAAAAACTGAGCCTTAGGCCAAAAAAAAAAAGTCTCCGGTTTCTGGTATGGAGCTTGTCCAAAAAGTGGTGCGGCGACGCGGCTTTTTTTTTTTTTTTTTACCTGATTTTTTGCTTCAAATGTCGGCTGATGACTGCAAATGGTGCCCGACTAAACTTAGTGCAAATATATGGGAGTCCAGAGAGGCCACATAAAGCTTATTCTTGACCATAACCCAATCTAAAAACACGTTAAAATTGTGCAGCAGCACAATTCCAGTCAAACCAGTGAGTTTGGCGGTTTTGAGACATCATCTGTCATTGAAAAAAAAACTTTTTCATTTTGCCGATGCGCATGGCTACGGCGACGCGCGCGCATACCAGAAACCGGAGACTTTTTTTTTTTTTGGCCTTAGCCACAAATTACATGCTTTGGACATAGCCACACTGACATGTTTGTTTGTGATATGTCACCACGAAATGAGCATACATTTTTGTACAGTAGGAAAATACCATTTTGCAATACAGTGCGGAGAAGCCCAAATTTGAAGGGGTTGTCCATTTTTTCTTTCAGATGAACCTCAATCTGTGAATCCTGTTTTAGCTTTCTTCGTTTGTTCTATCAAACATCTTCAAAACCTACTTTATTTTTTTCATCCCATTTAATTATTTGACTGTTCGTTCATTGTAAAACAACATGGGATATCTAAATGCCATTTTCTCACATTAGTTTTACGACTTCAATTTAGTTGGTGGTCTATATTTCCATTACTGAACTCAGTATCCCCAAATGTTATACACAATTTAAACGTTCAGCAAAATCCAGAAATCGAAAATCTCATTCCTAAAAAAGTCGGACTTTATGCTCAGTTTGTGGGAACAGGTCACATTTGGCTAACAGGAACGTTTCTTTATAAACTAATCAAATTTGATAATAAAGATGAAGGTTTGGCTTTCCAGTGCGACGCTTCCATGCCCGAGCCCCTGCTTTTTTTGTAAAACTCTGAAAACCTCCCCCGAGACAATGATTGTGGGAAATACCAAAAGTAACCATTTTGCGCACTCCAGTAATGGTGGAAAACCAAACCAGTAATCACAGTGTGGGCAACTCGGATTGACCAATATATTCCCATAATATTATATGAACACAAATCTACACAATATAACAGCAAGACAACCAACAGTACATGTAATTAAATACTTTATAGAATAAATGAAGTTTCCAACAAAAAAACATTTGACTAGAATTTAAAATGTACACAATTTTGTTTCTATACATGTGTAAGATAATAACTTGTTTTGGTATAATACACGTGTCATCTTCTCATATAATAATGCCCACCGTGGAAGCACATTATTAAAGATGAGCTCGATAATGTACAAAATAGACCTGACATATGAGGCAAACATTGTGATAAATAGATACCGAGGCTATATCCGAATTGATGTCTGGCACTTTTGTCTAGGCTTAAACAATAGATTGATCCAAGCCCCGCCTACTGCGTGCATTTGAGCAACAACGCGCGCGTCTCCCAATGCCATACTGCATGTTTCAGACACACACGTCATGTGCACACGCACACATGCAGGGGTGAGATTTGCCAGGATTTTTGGTCAGGGTTTTTCCCTGATTTCAGGATTTTTGATCAGGATTTTTGCTGATTTCAGGATTTTTTGTCGGGATTTTTCCTTACTTCAAGATTTTTGGTCAAGATTTTTTCCTAATGCAGGATTTTTCAAGAATCCTTCTTGAAATATGGAATTCCTAAGGTTTCACCACGAACATTTTTGTTATAAGAGTTTACATGAAACAGAAGAAATGGGTATGAATTACTTGGCTACGGCTACGGCTTGAAATTACACACAGGTCTATGGGAAGTGGCTGCAGCGGCTACCATAGAGGCTTGCGTAATTTCTAGCCATTAGCCGAGTGATTCAGACACAGCCTTGGTCAGGATGTGCTGACTTAGCCGTAGACATAGCCATAACCCTATTTGGACACAGCCGTAGTCAGGATGTGCCGACTTAGCCATAGACATAGCCATAACCCTATTTGGACACAGCCATAGTTAGGAAGTACTGACTTAGCCGTAGACATAGCCATAACTCTATGCAGACACAGCCTTTAATAGTCGGGACGTGCTGACTTAGCCATAGACAAAGCCAACACCCTATTCAGACACAGCCTCAGATTTTTAGCATGTACATTTGTACAGTGACAGATATGCATGAGCAGTCCAGCAATAACTTGAAATACTCCTGAAGAAGTTTTACTTATTTTTTTATCTACTGGAAGTATGTCAGTTCTTTGGTTCAGATTATAGCAAAGATTTGTTACTGAACTTGGATTTGTTTGCTTGGCGGCTGAGTGGTGATCCCCTTTCCTTTTTGAAAACAATTTTAAAAGATCCCCATTTGCACCTTTGGTCAAGGAAAAATCAGAGCCAATTGCTTGGACCGTCTCTGTTATGTACAGTCGAATCTCGTTAGTACAAACTCTGTTAATACAAAATTCTGGTTATAACAAACATAAAGCCTTGGTCCCGACTGTGCATTTATGTGCACAATGAGTGGGACTGATGTTCCTCTTAATACAAAATTCTGATATAACAAACAATTTGGCTAGGTCCGAACAAGTTTGTATTAACGAGACTCGACTGTATGCGGACGGCACATGGTGTTAGATCATCCAACTTGTAATACCAATTGTCTATACTTCATAAAACTCTCCAATTGTTTTCTTCTGAAACCATGCTATTCACATATACATTTTCTCCTCTCTTTATCTGCAGTTTGTGTTATTTCTTTTGCCAAATCAAAAGAACTTAACATAAAAATATGTAACATAAACCTATATCTGGCCAAACATAAAAATTGGATCAAGCATGCTTGTATACATGTACTTTATATATAACTTTGGGAACGTACATAATTATTCACACTACAATCATTCAAAAGATATGTAACATAATGGCATTATGGCAATACGACTAATACAATACTAGAATCTATCAAAATTTGCAGAACTGAAACTGAAGGGTTTAAAGAACTACAAACAATAACAATATCACATCAAACTGCTTTCTAAATAAAAAAAATGCATGAACAAGATGTTGGGAGACAAATGCTATTTATGATCAAGTAATGCTGTGACTACCTTGATGCTAAAACAACAACCACCACAATTTCATCTGAAGTTAAAAGAAAGCAAAAAACATCGTGAAGAAAGTATTTGTTTTTGTTTTTGAAAGCATGCTTGCATTATTCTACAATCCCCATTCATTGCTGTATAATGGGATACAGTTTTTTCCGAATACATGTAGAAGGAAATTGGAACAGAACTTTACAAGATGAAGAGGTACACACCTTGGGAATAAGTGTGTCTTAGAAAGAGCAGAATACACACGTCTGCAGCTTTATGTATCCTTTATTAAAGGGAATATACATCATTTGCTTTTGCTGTAATTTTCAGAAATGGATGGAATTGGGGGGTTGGAAATATATAGCAAATATAGTTACACTGATTTTTTTTGAGGTTTTGGGTTCGAAAATGCTATAAAAACCAAGAAAAACAATCATTTTCCTGTAGTCTGGTTCCCTGACTCCATATAAGAAGAAACAGAGCAGTTTACATACATTGGGGAATTGTAAGGTCAGGGAACCAGTCTAGCTGGCTTGTACCCGTTCATAGGTGTGTAGGCCTAATCAATTGCAAACAAGTGCGATTGTCAATTGGGGCCAGTATTTGAGGAAAAAAAGCCAGTTTTTTCCAACGCTGGTCGGCCGACCAGCGTTGGAAATTGATACAAAAATACCAATTTTGGTAGTTTTATTTTTTGATGTTTGCAAATGTTGTATTTTCCCTTTGAGCACAGGTGGAATTTATTTCAACAAAAAGAAATGCCTTTGGTGAATTTAATTGATAGGGTCATTCCAAAACACTCATCTTCACTGAGCCTTTCTTTTCCAGTCTAACTTTCAGTAAAGGGCTTCTCTTCCCAGGATTGAATGAGCTATTTTAATACTCTCAAATATTCAACAAATTCAGACTACGAAATTGGTAACCTCGACCTAGTAACCAAACAATTTCAAGATTTAGTTTGTAACCAGGGCTAGTGTTTCTGCAAGGGAGAGTCTTTCTCTGGAATTTGTGCAATAAGCATTGCAATAGAATGAGAAGGGTCATTGCCATTTTGCTGTGGGTCTCCGATGCATGAAGCGCAATATGTGACAGAGGGACCCCCCCCCCCCTCTTTGGTGTTGGTCATTGTGTTACCAGAATCTCAGGAATTCTTTTGAGATATCTAGGGGGATGTGTTAGGTAAAAATAGTCTAGGGTGTGTGTAGGGTATAGGGTGATTTGGGGGGGGGGTTTACACCTGGGTACACTCCGATGGGCATCTGTGGATTGTGACCATTTGGTTTTCAGTTTTTCCTGTGTCAAAAGGGTCCTCTTGGAGTGCTTAGTCAACTTCTCAGCCAATCTCTGCCACTGGGCCCAGTCTTCAGTAGACAAAGCACCTCTTCTTTGGCCCAGACAGGCAGTCCCACACTCTCACATCGCAACAGATTTTAGGTCCTGAATTCTCTGCGACATTACTCCTCAAGGTTCCCCATTGTTCGACCCTCCATCACCCTGTAAAAGTCTTCAGGCAGACATTTCCAAGTTCCAAGTTCGGCCCAACGTTCCACAAGGAACTCTGTCCTCAATTGTTCAGTTTATCATCAGAAAGTTAGCTTTCAACATCCCAACTGTTGTCCACTCATGTCCCTACTCGTTATCACCTGATAAAAACCCACAGAATTTTAGATTATGCCCGATAGTATAGCTGCACTTCTCGATCAGCATCTATATACACTGGTACTATAACCCTTGTTCCTGGTCAATAGGAACACTACTGCCCTACAATCCTTGTGTCTGGTCCATGTAAAGGAAAACTAGTCCAGGCAGTCAGCAAAACAATGTTCCATAAATTACCCACGGTTCAAAACTCCACCAGATTCTTCCAGCCACTGGCTACTTCTCAATCAACAGCTATAGACCGGTACTATAATCCTTGTTCCTGGTCCATGGGAGCAATATTGCCCGGCATTCCTTGTTCCTCAATATATACAATATTGCCCTGGTCCAGAGAAACAACACTGACCTGCAATACTTGTGCCTGGTCTATAGTACCACTACTGCCCTGCAGCCCTTGTGCCTGGTCAATAGCATTACTGACTGGCAATTCAATGCCTTCCATCATTTCAACAGGCAATGTTTCTTGGCCTTCGGCGCTGGTTCCCTCACCAGTTTCGTTGGCATCTTTCCTGTAACATCCGGCGCAGACGGGTTGGGTGAGGTAGTAAGGGTCCATCTGCTCTAGTATCGCTCTACCCTCCGCCAAGAGTCCCTCTTCGATCTCCCTGAGATTCGCATTTTTCTCTTCTAAACGTGCAATTTCCTGAAGGTTGAATGAGGGGGGAAATGGTGTTATTGTTTCGTTGCTGCCCGTGTATGTCAACCTCATCAATATCCACCATCGATCCTTGACAGGGGTATTTCTCTGGGGGTGTTAGAGGGTCTAAATCTCCTTCTTGGGCCACACAAAAAAAATCATGCAGAGAAGCACAGCGAATGACTGCTCACTCCCCCCCCCCCCCTATTCCAGGATCCGCCCCCATTCTGCATTTATGTACCATAACCATAACCCAAACCCTGATCTGTACTGCACTCTATTACTCCATCACCCACTCCTACCCCTGTGCATAGCTCCCTGATTTCTATTCTCTCCTTTTACCCTAATCTGTGCCAAAATGCATCCCAGTTTACACCCTTTACCTCCATTCTGTACTCACATCTGTACCTTCTATGCGCCCTTGTTTGTAGTGTACCCCTCTTTTTGTACCCACTTCTGTACCCCACTCGCATCCCTGTATTACCCCTACTCCACATTTGTATCCATATACAATGTAGGCCTATGGACCCCACCTTTTTGTATCCACTTTTGTATCTCCTTCCCTGTATACCCTGTACCCCTCTTTTTGTACCTGCTGCTTGACCGACCTGTATCCCATTATATACCACCATTCTTGTACAAATGTACCCCTACCCACTTCGTGTACCCAGTTTGCATCCCTTTTTATACACCCCTTAACCATTCACCCTCTTCACTTCACATCCACATTAATTCTTATAAGAGTCTTACCATATTTGTTCCCATCAACAGCCTGAACCTTCACCCACCCCACCCAGCAAATGCCAGCCTTCCCCTCTGTGTCCTAGCTACTATCTGGTTCTATCATCCTCTGGACCCTGCATCCCAGTTACCCAACCGCCCAAAAAACCTAGTCAACCAACTCACCCATACCCTGCACCCTACCCCAGTGTACCCCATCTGCACCCCTGTAGCCTCAACCAACCCCACCACCAACCCATTCCTCGTAAATCTTTTGCCCCTCATAAATTCTTACTCAATCACTGCGAACCCCATACACCCTCATTTTTCTCCCCAACTGTACTACTGTAACAACTGTAACATGTAGTACAGTTGGGGAGAAAAATGAGGGTGCCCATGCAACCCGCAACCTAAGCCTTTCACACGTCCACGTCCACACACCTACCCACCCATCCACCCACCCACGATTACATAGGCATAGAAGTGGGGTACTTCTTTTGTTCTCGTGTACTAAAATCTTGCAACGTCGCACACTTATGTCAAAATGCTATTATTTTAACCAGAGTTCATTTCCTGGGCTGAAATTCGGACTTAATGTCCCTTTTCTAAAACTCTTCCACTTGCGAGGGATCAACCCACCTTGGAAATTCCTAGTTTTTGAGAAAAATCCATATTTCTATTTCGTGAAAAACTTGTGGGGTACCAAAACGGTACCCCGCAAGTCGGTGGGCATTCCTTGTGGGGTACCTCCCATTGTTCCGGTACCCCACAAGGCAGTGTTTTCTACACTAAACCCTTGCTAGTCACCCTGTGACACCCCTTCCCAACCTCCACCCACCCCTCTTCCCTTACCCTCATGCTCTGTTCATCCTCATCCTTTTTCCTCTGCCTACTCCTTGCCGAAGACTCCCTGTTCTTCTCTCGCTTGATCTCTTCCTTGGTCTGGTGGAGATAACAAAACCAAATCTCTCATCAAGTATCATCAAAATAGCAATGAGAACTGCTCAAACAAAATGTAAAACACAGGACGATTTTTAAAAAAATAAGGTGAAAGTTAAGGTGTTGCACTTTAGTCCATCAAAAGGACATCACAATTAATAATCAAATGGCCCAAGTAATGTAATTTTTTTGATGCAATCCTTGAAAATGCACCTTTGTTTCCAATTTAACCTTATTTTCAATTTTTGTTTTGCCATTTTCAAGGGTATTTTGGTGCCTTTTTGGTTTTTATACTAATGCTCATTTCCATATTCATGAGCAAAAGTGTGATGTCATTTCAGGCAGAAATCTCAATGTTACAGTAATTTCAGCACCTCAAGTTGCCAGAATTTTGGATATTTTGCTGTTGTAACTATTTTCTTTTCTTTGATGATTCGTTGTGTCAGTACATGGCAGTATAAACCCAATGAGCAAACCTTTCTCACAATAATGAGTACATTTTGGGGTTCACAATTTGAACACAAAACCCATAAACTGAACAGTGTCTTCCTGAAATGACATCACAGCAACACTGCCCTCAGTTGTCCAGAAAAGCATGGAACATTTGAATGTTTAAAGAGGTGCACTTTTCAATAAAATTAACCCAATATGGATGTCAATAGTTTTCATACATCTATGAGGAGGAAAAAGTTGCACAGAATATGTTATTAAGAAAAAATAATTGCAGTCATAGTCATCCAGTTCAAAAACAAGTTATAGGCTATTCAAATGATCGTTCACAAAGGCAACAATAGCTAGAACTTAGTAGAAGGATTGTGATGTATATGCGAACGGTCTCCCTCTAAAGAAATAGTCGTGACAAGGGTGCATTTGTAGTTAATACAGTGTGAATGATTTTAGGAGTTTATTGGCGTTCCCCATTGAAAATATGGCATGAGCCAGGGTTTGTTTCTTTTCCAAGTAGGCCTTCTGAAAGGCCAACTGGACTTCATCTCGACTTGTCACAAACAAAAAGCCACCTTTCCCGGACTGTCCGAAAACCATCTGATTAGCAATTCATTATTATGCTGTACTTCGTCATTACGTGAAGGCCGTTACTTAGATTAGTGGCCAAACGGCGACCAACAATGCGGTTGTCGAAAGATGTCGACCGGCCGGGAGGCAGTTGATGCATTATTCATTAGAGATTGTGCATACTAATCATTTTGGGAGGAGTCAAAACCGCGCGCGTTTACTTCCCAGGGGCCATATTAATGGAGCTGGTAAGCACAGAAAATAATGCGCTTAGCAAAGAAATACGGATACCAGCCAAACTGTCATCAATGTATATTGCTTTTTAACTGGTTCCCAGCTCAATTTCTGATTAGCAGGTCAATATTCTAAACATTTGTTTCTTGTTAGCAGCTCTATAGTTGGCCCAGTTCGTCCGCAATGTCTAGCTAGCCAACCCAACATACTGATTTTGCGATATTGCTTATATTATGGAAAAACCCTTAACTGAGTAATGTCCGTATCGCTGCGCTAGAAAACCGCGGGGAAAAAAGTCAACCAGTTCGGCCATCCGGTTCCGGCTTTTGTTGTACATGTAAAATACTTGAACATTCATATTACTACACTACAAAACAGCTGTTTGACATTCTACTAAATTAATGGCATTAGACACTGTCCCGAGAAGAAAGTAATGAGAACAAATTTTGAAAGTTTTAATTTCTCATCACCATTAAAGGGAATATACAACATTTGGAAACATCGAAAAATAAAACTACCAAGTTTTTACGAAATACCTTACTAGGATGTTGGTAAATGACAGTCTAAAGCATCCTGTAAAATCATGGCACCTGGTGTGAAGTCATTTTCATGAAAATGGTAAATTTGTATAAATTTCCAATTGTGGTCGGCCGACCACCGTTGGAAAAACCTAACTTTTCTTTAACTACTGCTCCAAATTCACCATTTTTTCAGTCCAAATTTTGTTTGCTATTGGTTACATGTTCATGAAAGGGTGCAGGCCAGCTAGACTGGTTCCCTTACCTTACAATTTGCCGGCATCTATAAATTCATCCATTTTATCTTTAGTGGAGTCAAGGAACCAGACTACTCCACCATTTGTGTTTTTCTTGATTTTTCTAGCATTTTCGAACACAAAACTTCAAACATGTCAGTGTGACAATATTTGATCTATTATATAGTAACCCCTCAAATAGTTCATTTCTGAAAATAACAGCAAAAGCCAATGATGTACATTCCCTTTAAAATATCTGAATATGGACAAGCGCTGGTTTACATCAAAGTTGAAATGTCATTTCAATGATTCTCCTTTTACTGAATTACTGTTCACGTTAGTCAACTTGTGTTGTACCGTATAGGTCCTATTCCTTGCAGTAGCATGGGGTATTCAATTTCACGTGGAAGGGAAATGGATGCGGCGATCAAGACCTCTCACTAGACCCAAGGAATGTGTATTAATTACAATGGAGTAGCTATTAAAAACAGAATATTTCGGAAGCCATATGGGAGGTGTGTTTTGTTATGTAAACTCATTACCAATGAATGCACAAGAGCTATACTTATGCGTCTATACAGGGTGATTCAAAAAAACCGACACTCAAATGTTGGGACCATTGTTTGAGAGAAGTTCTGCATGTAGCATTTTCAAAAAATATATGAAAGCCCAATTCATAAGCTTGCTTTTAGTATAAGAATCATTCAAATCACTTATGTACTTTTCAAATTACGGAATGCACCGTTTTAAGGTTCTGTTCCCGGATCACAGAAAGGGTGTGCGTTCTTTCAGCAAAACGAAAACAGTCACACACATCCCTATGTGATTTGTTTTCGTTTTGCTGAAAGAACACTGAACTTTTTGTGTGATCCGTGGACAAAACCTTAAAACGGTGGTTGTGTTTAAAAGTATGTAACTTCAAAAGAACATGAGAGATTTGAATGATTCTTGTACTAAAATAAAGCTTATGAATTGTGCTTTCATATCCTAGATTTTAAAAATGCTACATGCAGAACTTCCTTAAAACAATGGTCCCAACATTTGGGTTTTGGGTATTTTTTACTCACCCTGTAGTATCCCTGTTGAACAAAGCACACACTATTCATAAAATGGAATTTGCTTCGGGGGGATGTAAATTTAATAATTAGGTTTTGCCCTTCACTTTTACTCAGGAGGTAAGATACAGAGTATATGGTGTTTATACGTCGGTGAAGGGCAAAACCTAATATTAAAAAGAACACACCTTCAAGATGGCTGCTCTGCAAACGGTCTATACAATTCGCTCTTAAATTAAAGAAGTCATTACAGTTCATTCAGTCCGTTTGGTCAAAATAGTCACCGTCTGGTATAGTCTTCAGAAGCGAGATCACATCCGGATCACATCCTATTTTTCTCTATCTTGAACACAACATAACATCTAAGAGAGAAAGCATTTCTCAAAATCTCACAGGATAAAACCTTCAGAAACTACACAACTTATGTGTCTTAAAGAGTGTGCCGTTTTACGAAGAAGGGCTGACTACCCCCCCCCCCCAAAAAAAGGGGGGTTGCATTGTTATTAGCGAAGATGATTTCTGTGTTGCATGTTTCATGAAGAGAAGTGGCAAGCTTCAATTGATGTACATGTACAGGTAAATACAGGGTTAACAGTCGTCTCCTGTGGCGATATTTTAAAATATAATTTCTTTTTTTGGGGGGGGGTTTCAGTCTGACAAACTTTTAGCCTCGACAAAAACAAAATATGGATTTCTCCTCGTGTGTTTTTTTATGCCCAATGATCATGTAGTACATTTTGAATGACTTCAAATACTTCTAAAAGTGAAAGTCTTAAGCAGTTCTACAAACTCTGCATCACTGCAAGTTGGTACTTATACTGATTGAATTAGGTTACACTAATGCAATCTACGTTAACAATGTCTTAAGGCGTCAGGCAGCAATGCATCATGAGAGTGAGAAGTGATTGCTTCAGTTAAGATTCTGAAATGTTTACCTTCTTATCCAGCCGTCTGGAGGTCGAGTCCGCCTCCATGGCCAGCACCACGCTACGGTAGTTCAAACACTGCCCATCCACCACTAGGCCAGACAGCATGAAATCCATGGAAACTCAGCGGGCACGGACAAGACACCACACCGGACAATGGACGGCAGAGACGGTACCCGAGTGGACCAGAGAGCGGTGAATCGATCGCAACTCTCGGAGCGGGGATTCCCGATAACCTGAATAAATTATGAAGATGTTATCCTTACTAGTCAAAAACAAGCGCCGACAGTTGGTTGTGGTTGATATTGAGGCGCGCGCGCGTGCGCCACAGTCAATGACCTTTTATTCCTATTTTCCTGGATAGGCTAGTGAATAACAACCATCAAACTCATGGTGTAATGCATAACAAAGGATAATTCTCCAAGTTCTTGATGATAATTTCTTACGTCTACAAGGCCATGTCATCTTTATACATAAGAGAGGGGCGTGACTACGCACAGTCTTAGACGTGAGCCTTATATCAGACTCGAATCGCGTCTACGGGGAAATCCCGTTTTCTCGGGGATTCCCCACTTTCTATTTTACCATGCCTTAACCGTATACCGGTAAATGGCAGCGCTACATATGTGCTATATTATATTGGCATGCTCTGCGTTCGTTAGTAATGGCAACATTTCCCATCTGTTTCATCCATTACATTGCTCCTCGCAGCAATTACTGCTGCATACCCAAGAGGTTGTATGACGATTCTTTCCCATACGATAGCACATTAATGTAATGCAGCATTGGCAGCTGCATTGTGATGATCTGGCTGCGTGCCAAGATGTGGGGAATCCCCATTTCAAGGGACCTACCATATGGTACTATATACGATGGCTGCAGTGCACGTATAATTCATAGAGGTTAACACAATATCCGCACATCCCTAGACTGTTCGTCCTCTTGCAGCGCAGCGTGGAAACTCCCTCATTATCATAAAAGACAACCTTGGCACAAAATTGCCCTTTCTTCTCTGTGTTTTATCTCTCTGAAGGCATTTTCACCATACCATATCACAGCTATGAATTCATAGTACATCGCATGCAATGTACATGTACTTGTACATAATCATTATGCGCATTGGGCAACTGTTTTTAACGGAAATCTGAGAGGGATATACAATGTGTGTTTAGCTCATAAATGAATGTGTTTATTTTGCATCGTTTGCAGCTTTGCAAACCCAACATGAGTCGATTTTTTGGCTTGTATTTTTTTTGTGATGATGATGAAAATTACATTTCGGCAATCGGCGTCCGGAACCGATTAGACTTCACTCCAGTCTAACTTCTTTCGAAATGTAAGATACCGTCTTATTTCATAAATATATTCTCTTTGTTTATTACTCACAACATACTAAAATGATTTAAACAAACAGAGAATCGAAACGAATAATGGATGTCACCACCGTCAGTCTTTTTTTTGGCAAAACTGAGTTTATTTAATTTATTGATTGAATTGATTAATGAGTTATTCGTTGTTTGCTTGACTTGTTTAGTATATATCGTGTACATAAACGCTTTAAAATTCAAATCAGATGATTTTGGCCCACAACAAAAAAAACTCCTCAATTCAAATTGTGCCCAGTTAAGGCAGGACCTCACATGCAAGGGCGGATCCAGAACACAATTCTTTTTTGGGGGGGGGGGGCCAAACAAATGTTGGTCCCCCAAAAAAGTGGGTCCAAAAAATTGCGGCGTGGGTTTGGGGCCCGATCAAGGGCTCCAAATTTTGTTTGGATTCTAGATGCTCTGTGGTGCGATCTGAGGCAATTTCTAACCACTATAACCAATGTTGTTTAGGAAAAGATGGTGGTGTACTCATTGCCTGCCTTTTTTGCGACGTCTCTTAACAAAACAAATTGGATTCGGGGGGGGGGGGGGTTTGGGGGGGGGGCCCGATCCGCCCTTGCTCACATTTGGGAATTTCGGAATATCAGCTGAAGGGCAAAGGTGAAGTGCGGTTGGCCTGACGTTTTGTTCAACAGGTGTTTCATGTGACCTCTGTTATGACGACTCTGGGAACCAGATTAGTAAGCCTCGCCCGAATAGCTAGGCTACGGCTAACGGAAACACATGTCTATGTGATGTGGCTGCAGCCGCTTCCATAATAGGCGCGTGTGTAATCGCAAGTCGTAGCCAAGCATTTCGGACACGGCTCTTGTTTGTAACTAATAACACAATGTTAAAAGCAGCATGCACGCCTACCCAGCTGGGCCCAGGGGAATACATTCTCAGTTGGGAATAGATTCCTAACTGGGCAGCTAAGACACTTTTTCTTTTCATTCATTCATTCATTCATTCATTCGTAACTGGTTTATTGTTTAAAAAGTTAACTTGAATAACATCCATCACGGCTCGAAAGCCAAACTGCAGTTAAACACGTTTAAAAAGTTGGTGTTAATCAAGATTATGTAAACCAAAAATATCAAAACTACTTATATATTTCGTTAAAATTTCAATTAAAATCAAAAATATTCATGTTCTGCAAATTTAAAGTTTACATAGAAATGAAAAGGGAATTGAAAACAATAGCAAATATATGAAAATGTCATTTAAAAAAGACAGCTATTAACATTATATTAAGAAATGTGTGGGAACTATTTCATATGTGAAAAGAGAAAAATATGGAAACCACGTTTGATTTTTATCTTTTAAACCTTTGGATCGGGTTTCCAAAATGTTTATTATTTTTTAAAGTGTCTAAAATTCAGTCGTTCGCCACCATTGGTAATTTCAACAATAATACAATTTTGCTTGAAGTATTAAAATAGAAATAAATTTGAACAATTAGTAGTAAATAGTTTAAACCTTGAAATGTTGGGAACATTGAGATAATCATGCATTTTAACTTCATAAAAGAATATTGTCCAAACCAGCTGCGTAGCCAATGCGGGCGTGGGGGCATAAAAAAGTCGCCCCCCCCCCCCCCTCGCCCCCTCCCCCTGGAAATTTGTTAGTCCTATAATCATGGGCGTCGCCAGGATTTTTTCTAGTATTTCTCAACACATTCTCGATTTATCAGTTTTAGAGGGGGCAGGGACATTTTGCCCCCCCCCCCCCAACTCATTAAATTTACACCACTTAGTCTTCGCGCCTCTTTTTTTTTCTTCCTTTTTTTTCTTTCTTTTTTTGGTTGCTTTTCCAGGGGGGGGGGGTCAAGTGCCCCCCTTGCCCCCATGCCTATAATAAGTGACCATGTTAACGCGTTCAACAAAAATTCCCCCCACCCCCCCCCCCCTCATTGGACCCCCCTAATCCTCATTCCTTTGTTTGTATAACTTTTTATCAACAGCTCTCATTGATTTTGTACACGAATTTCAATCGTGGACTATCGGTCAATCGTGGACGTCTTGTTTGTGCCTTAACCCTTTTATCCTAGGTCCACGATTGCCGGTGTTAACACACTCACAATCACCCCCTATGTTGGCTGGGCAGCTAATCCAAACACCCCTACAGAGAAACGAATTGCTTCTTACCTCCGGCACAAATCAATGACATTCCACGAGTCTACTCCAGAAAGGGGAATCCCCATTCACAAAGCGAAAGTTGTCAACAATCACCGCGTTCACACGAAGAAATATTTTGTATGATCGCAAAGTCAAAACATTCTTCACAAGTTGCGATCATCATCATCAACATTAACAGTAAACCTACAGTGTTCCCGTGCTCCACGGTAAAAATGATTGTTATTTAGGTTCTCCATTTGATTTTATACCTCTGAGTTACTCAATGTCTGTGCGAAAAGTCTATGGTGTCCTCAATATTGCGCAACTTCATGACTACACGAATAATCAAAGCCATCGTTTCATCATATGCGCTAGCCACTACCCTCGCTTCGCGCAGTTTACGCAAGACACATACGGGTACGGCCCTGTTAAAGTGATTAATTCCAAAAAAGAAAACAACGTAGGAAGTGATAGCATATGCATATGACACTGCAGTTGTGCCTCAATTATGTTCCACCGTACGTATAATGATAGTTTTCTCTAGTATGTAAATGGCCACAGTCCTGTTTATAACTGTGCGCAAACATTGCCTGGCTCGTAATGTCAACGCGGGGTGTCACACTTTCGAGGAAACAAAGGCAATTTTATGTTTTCAAGTGTTTCATAAAATGTTTTACCCGGAAGTTTGAGTAGATTTACTTCACAGATGACCCTGGAATTTGTATTTTTTTCGTAGTCGTACCTTAGGTTTACATTACAATGACAACATTTAGTTACAAATTCAAAGAATTTGTCGGCTGATTTCGAGACCAAGTAATTTGACTAAAGTTGTTTTTGACATTAATTTTATTCTGCTAAACAAGTCTCAAAAATCACCTTTTTTTCATCACAACTTTTTTGAATCACATATCTCATTGGGAAAAAAACATTCAAAGTTTCCAACGAGATGTGATTCAAGATATGTGATTTACAAAAAAAAGTCGTCATTGGCAAACTTGTCATTTGATTAATGTTCAAGGGCCCCGTGCAATGTTATTATTTTAATGCAACCCTTGAAAAGACACATTTGTGTCCTCTTTTACATCATTTTCAATTTCGTGTTGCCATTTTCAAGAGTATTTTGTGATTTTTTATTTTATGCTGTTGAAAATTTACATATTCATGAGCAAAAGTGTAATGTTATTTCAGGCAGAAACCGCAATATTTCAGCTATTTCAGCACCAAAAGTTGCCAGAAATTGGGATATTTTGAGCAAACTTTTCTCACAAATGTTTTCAATGATCACAATTTGGGGTTCAGAATTTGACATAAAACCCCTAACCTGACAGGGTCTTCCTGAAATTCAATCACGGCAACAGCGCCCCCAGTTGTCCCCCAAAACATGGACTTTTTTATGTTTAAAAGTGCACTTTTGAATAAAATTAACCAAAAAGGATGTCAAATAGTTTTCATACATTTAAGAGGAGTATAAAGTCGCACAAAATATGTTCCTCAGAAAAAAATAATGGCATGGACCATTTAGGTGTGACGAGTTACCAACATAAAAAGAAGGGGAAAAAAGAAGAAGAAAAAAAGAGGCCAATGAAAATGCTGACTCATTCGCTATGTTTTGACTTGAACAATAGTGGGTGTTCTTGGTCATTTCCGGATTCATGTTCACCCATTCATTCTGCGCTGCCCTTTTAGTCCTGCAGCGGTAACTCGTAAACCATCCAATTTCCGGGGAAATATTTTGTTTCATAGCGTATTGTTTTTTATAAACATTTGGCTGATAACATGTTTTCAGAATGTCGAACGTTCACATTTATTGTTACCTTTTATTTCGTAGACGGTAAAGTGTGTTTTTATTTTGGTTTGCTAGTTTTTTTTTGATATTTGGGAAGTGATCCACCTTATATCTGTTCCTAATTCTCCTTTCAATTTTTTCCTTTTCTTACTTTTCCTTTTTCATATTGGGTGTAAAACGGGACAATACAATACCCAGGACTTTCAACTTAGGCCCAGTAAAAAAAAAACCACCAGTTGATCTTTCGGATTATTGTTTTCTTCCAAAAAGAGGAGGATGAGGGCCTTTTTATTTTGTTTATTTTTTATTGAAAAATAGGCTTAAATAGCCATATTTAGCTTACACGATATGTGCCTTGAAAAGGAGGAGGCCCTTTTTATTTAATAGTTCTGTGTAGTTGCCTACTATAGTTGATGA